TCGAATTGTAAATGTTGTGGGTTTACCCTCCAACACACCGTTTGTACTGTAGTAACTAATTGGCACGTTTCGTTTCCGTGACAAACCTTACTAATTGGCTGCGTCGGGTGGCGACGGGTTTAACGATACATTTATATTTACGCGATAACATTAAAAAAAAACCTTTATTATGGATTGTATACACCTTTACGCTATTTTAATGTTCAGTTTTGTTTTCATTATTTTGAAACGCATCTCAAATTCACGAGGGTATGCATGAGGACATATCGAACACAGGAAGATCCCATTTGGAATGAGAGGCACGAGTTAAACTAAAATCCACAAAGTATTTGGAGCTAAAGCCTCCAGCACATGAAACCAGGCGTTTTCTTTTTAAAGACCCAAAGCAGCAGAATGAGAGGTAGTTTTAACATCCGATGTCACTCCCAGAGACAAGAGAAGAAGATTACACTTGTGCCTGAGTGCTTGCAATAAATACTCTAAACGATTCTGTACATATATTTACAAACCTATGGAAAAGCAGTACAAAGAACTTTGACAGTGTCCAAACAAGGTGCTGAACAAATTGTGAGGATGACCACTGGTTTAAAATCCGGGAACAGAGTACTTTGTTCCAACATGCTGAATATGGTTTATACATTAGGGGTGTACACATTCACCACATGGTCCAATTTTCATTTGTATACAATTTGTTTAATTAGAAAAACACGGCTTTGCACATGCGGAATACGACGCGCATGTTTATCGTGAGCCTTGAGAATCTCAATTCGATGCATGGTAACACCCCTAATGTAAATTATTGGAAGGACATAATTGAGTTTGTGTACATTTAAAAAAACACACGATTCCGTTGTGTTTGTTTACGTTAATAATCACAAATACGTTTATGTTGGTCAATGCCATGGAATTTGATGATTTAGTGGGGTAGCTTTCCCCGATTGAGATTTGTGTGTTGGGAGTCAATACAGAAGGAGCTTTAAAAGTTACTTAGAAGTACATATTCTTAGTTTTATATATATTTTATTATTTTGTTGTTTCTCTTCAACGTGACTTTACCGAAAAAACTAAGAATATGAATTACTGCAGTCACGAAAGCTTTAAATCAAAATTTACTTAGAAGTATTTAGCTATCCTAAAACTGGTCATTGAACGACTTTGATTCTGGATAACACAAACAATTTGATTGGACTTTTCTACAATTGACTAGCAAACCTATTTCATTCACAAATGCAAGTAGCTCCACAACCATTGACGACCACATTTCGTAATGCATTTTAAATTTTAATTTCATTGCAACCAATAATTCTAAGAGGGCCTTTTGATTTAAGGACATACTTTATATGAATGTACTGTGTGTCTAATAAACTAGATTATTACACTTTTGGCTTGCCATGTGGCTTATGTCAACAAATGGACTTGGTTTGAATTCAGGAGATGGTGATCCAGCCCGGGTTGATATCAATACACAATGCAGAGTAAGGAGAAAACACAATAACACGACAAACGTCTAGTAAAAAGCAGGTAGAATGTTCACATGATTTGTGCACATATTGTACATAATATGCAATGAAATATTACGCAAGGTCAGTCAGTTTTGGCCAACAAGTCTTTCACCATCACGACTGATAACACCAGCGGTTTCCGATTTCTACGTGCGCGTCTTGTTTGTTTACATCATTCAAAATAGTTTTTTTTGTAAATTGCGATTGCCAGTGCACTCTCCCAACTAATACCGTTATCAAAAATGCTGGAGCACGTGGAGAGTCTTTTTTTTCCCGTGCATCAAACCATAGCACTGAACACAAACACGGTTTGGCTGCTGGTGTGGAGCAAGATCAGTCAAGCAGAATGTTGACATCGGTGTTCTTCACTAATTATCAGGGTGGGGGGGGGGGGGGGCCCTTTTGCCTCTAAGACATCGGTATAAGGGCCGCCACACATTTTACACCATTGGGTTTGACGGCACAAAATGTGGTGTTTCCACATTTGTGTCTTGTCGGGAGCTGCACGTCAGGAGCGGCACTAAAGGCCACCCAGGGGCAGACGGTGGCACGTAGGCCTTGCACTGATGAACACTGCTTTAAATCATCTTCGAAAAGGAATTGGCAGCTCAAGGGTTAAACGTGCAAAAGTGAGGCTACTCCAGTGACGATGACACCACGTTGCGGCTGTGGAGAGAGACAGACTGGGAAGCATCTCTTGCTCCGTAAGCTCCCGGAGGAGCGGTGCACCGTGGAGGACCTCACAAGGGCTACAGAGACTGGGCCAGATCATCATCATCACGTGCCCCATACTGGATACATATTTGACTGGTGGCCAGGTCACGAGAAGAAGACTATACTGAGAAACGCTTCTTTATACATCTTTGAACTATCCGCGAGAACTATTCAGCATCAAGGAATGGCAACTATATCAGGCTTGATGAGCAAAAACTGACAGGATGACACTTGGTCAAACAGCAACCTTACATAATCATTTTCATTTAACATCATTCAACGGCTGGTGTTGCTAACAGCAACTTGCCCAACCCGTACCTACGGGTTGGGCAAGTTGCTGCACAAAAGTTGGGCTTAAGCAATAAAAACACACACCTCAATTCAAAAACACGATCATTTCACATCCAAAGCTTAATTATGGTCTGTAAACAACATAAATTAACAATTTCAACTTATCAACAAAACCGAGTATAAAATAACTGGGTATTAGGTGTAGCATACAGTCAAAACACACAAAAGTGCTATACAAGTGTTGTCTATAAAAATACAGTATACGATACAAGTTTATTAGGTGGCATAATGCTGCACATCATGCCATGCATTTACAAACCTTAAGACAGCCAAGCATCCCATATGGTCGTTACTATTATATATTGTGTGTGTGTGCTGCGACATCTACATTGCCTATATCCATCTCTGCGGTGTAATGCTTAACCCCAATGGTCGCGATTCAGGGTCGCGATCGGACTCAATCTCTTTTAAGTTGTTAATTTAAAACAGTGGTGAACGCAAGCAGCCACAAGTGGCCGCAGGAGTCACGTGACTTTACATAGTACACTAATTGGAACACAAATTCTTACATTTATATTTTATGGATCATGCAGATTAAGAATCAAAATTAACCGATGCATAGACCGTACATCTAAAGGTTGTTGGTGTGACCTTAATTTGTGTTGGAAAATCACCAGTGGGTTGTGGTAAGTATAATGCATATATTCTCTAGCATTAGGAAAAGCACTTCTCTAACTTAAAGTGAGCACACAATTGAATGACAACTCTTGATATGAAGCGATTTGTAACCGATATGAGAACCGAACGTGCAACGTTTCTTTATAGAGAAAATCGAACGCAGTCCCTTTCACGTTTTTGCCGCGAAAGATCTTTCAAGGGACTTCACATATTTCACTCAAACGCCAATGCAAACTAACTGCATGTATTAATATTTCAGATATATGTTACTTTTGCTATAACACAACAATGTGTCCCTTCCCTTTAAACATTTTTTTTTTATTCTACAGATTAATTTTTAATTAAAAAAATGTGTGTTCCATTTGCAATGTAGCACCTTTAAAATAGCTGTTTAAAAAAAAATAGCAACAATTTCACAGCCCAAAATAAACATTGTGCAAATTCCACACATGCTTTATATTTTTAGCTAAGACCCTTAAAAATTACCTGTTATGCGAATCATGTGAATACACTTTTAACTGCAGAGCTCTGTAAAGATTTTAGCAATTTGAGAAAAGAAAAAACATGCCTATGTTCATCAAAATGCTCCTAATGTAGATAGCAATAACAAAACCAACAAATTTTACCCACATTGAATATACTTAGCTGGAAATTACTCACTGTTAAAAAGGATATTTTCTATATTCGTACGTATATATTGTTTTACCCCAAAACGTTCAATGTGCATCGGGATGGTTTGGCTGAAGAAACCCCACTTTCTCGAATTAACGTTTCCTTTAAGCATCGTGGTAACTTTGATTGTGTGAATCCATTAAATTTACCGTAGAGTACGCGAGAATGTTTTCAGTTCACACACATTATAGCAATATTAATGCGACTCGCCGACGCCGGAAAAAAACGAAAACGAGCTACACATCTTACGCGAGGCGGTCGACACGCGGCGCCGCCGCCGCCGCCAACTCTTGCGAAGACGACGCGGCGGGCGACACTCAACGTGGCGGGGGATGGGGCACCACAAATCGGCGACTGCTGTTGGGCAATTTACACAACGGTGGGGAAAACGGAGGAGAAATAAATAGATTTGAGAGACGGCTTAAACCCCAGCGGCGTGGGAATAGGACAACGTGGAAAAAATAAGGAACCCTTGGTTTTATGACACTGTTGAGAGAATTCACAAAAGTGGGTCGTCCTTCTTCTCGAGGCAGGCATGAAGTCAAGCGAGGCACAAGCAGCATTCGGGAGAGGGTTGTGAAATGTTCACGCGAAATTACTGGTTTGTGTCAGTTTTTTTTTTAAAACATTAAATGAGAGGAATTTGCCACTTGCTAGGCATGCACCTCGGCCGATGGATGTGGAGGTTCATTTTTGCCCAATTAACTGCTCGTCCAACCAAATGTATTACAGCAGGGACTGAATCAATGCGTTGAATAGAAACCCAGTCATTAATGATGAAAAGTCATGGGTGGTCCAAGAGATGTCAGAGTGGCCTTTTCTCTTGTGTTCATTAGCGACACACAATGCTGAAAGGGAGGGGCATTTAAGGTTTATGACTCCTCAGACCCTCGAGAATCCAAGGGCACCGTTCGCAGCAACGTTGGACAGAATTCCATTTCTTGTCACTGTCGAGGTATTGAATGCAGAGAGTGGAAAGATGTCTCTGACTATACCTCGGATACAATAATGTATTAACTGCTATGGAAGAAACAAGCTTTGAGAATCTCTTTACCTGCAGAAAGCAGAGAACTGCACACAAACACACGCGCGCACACTAAATTACATATAAAACAACGTACGAAATCCTGGCGGGAGCGCGTCTTACAACTGCGACACGAGGGGCAGCCCTCGGCCCTGGCTGAAGCAGGAGCGCGAGCACTCCTGCAGCTGCTCCGAGTTGTCCGACACAAACGAGTCGTCCTCGCTGGGGCAGTCGCTGTGCCTGTGGCCCGCGTCCGCGCAGCCGCCGCCGCCGCCCGGCGCCGCCGCGCCGCCCTCTGCGCCGCAGCCCAGCGCGGCCGCCCCTGCTCCGGCCGCCGTGACCCCCGTCGACCGGCCCCTCTCCGCCAGCATCAAGGCGGTGCGGGCGCCGCGCTCCGACGGCGGCGGCGGCGGCGGCAGCATGGGGCTGCGCGGCTCGTCGCCCGCGGCTCCGTCGTCGTCGTCGTCGCCCGGCCCCACCCCCACGCCGCCGCCGCCCCCCCGGTCGCCGCCGTCCCCGTCGTCGCACGCGGAGCCCGCGCCGGACGACGGGCGGCGGGCGAGGCGGGAGGCGCGCACCCGCTGCTTCGCGCGCTCCTCGAGCGCCAGCACGTCGTGCTTGAAGCGCGGGTGGAAGAGCGCGTACAGCAGCGGGTTGAGGCACGCGGGCAGCGGCAGCAGCAGCAGCAGCACGGACTTGACGGCCTGCGGGCTGGCGGGCGCGCCGAGGCCGAGCACGCTGGCGAAGCTGACGAACGCCACGGGGCAGTAGAGCAGGCAGTTGGCGAAGATGAGCCAGGCGGCGTGCCGCGTGGTGGCGCTCTCCTGCGTGTCGGAGAGGTCCTCGCGCCGCGCCCGGCAGTAGAGGCGCGTGTAGCCCACCGTCATGGCGAGGAAGAGCAGCGAGTTGAGCAGCACGAGCGAGGCGGTGTAGGCGAGCGGCGTTGCCGCGCGCCCGCCGGGGAAGGGCAGGCAGAGCGGCGACGCGCCGTAGCCGCCCACGCCCAGCAGGGGCAGGGAAGCGGCGACGGCGGCGACCGCCGCCGCGACGGCCACCGCGACGCGGGCGCCGGCCCGGCGAGCGGGCTTGCCCGCCGCGCCGCGCAGGAGCGTCTGCTGCACGCAGCGCTCGGCCGGGCGGCGCACGAAGGCGCAGCGCTCGGCCGACAGCAGCGCCAGCACCAGCACGCCCGCCTCCAGGCCGAAGACGGCGAGGAAGCCCGCCGCTCGGCAGCCGCCGCCGGCCTCCCAGGCCGCGCCGCGCTGACCGAACGAGCCAAGGGTGGCGGCGTCCGTCAGGGCCACGGCGCCCGAGTGCAGGCCCAGCAGGAGGTTGGCGATGGCCAGGCAGCCGATGAGAAGGCGCGGCGCCGACAGGTGGCCCGGTGAGCAGAACGTGGTGACGGCCACGATGGAGTTGGCGCCGACGGCGAGCAGAAAAATGAGCCAGACGCCTAGGCGGAGCAGCCAGTTCCCGATGAGGCTGGAACAGGGCTTGAAGGCGCCTGGGAAAGACAGCACGCGGGATGCTTGTTGGCTGCTCGTGGCCATAGGCTTTGTGTTGGAACGCACGTGGGCAAGAAGACTTTTTCAAGCGCTACGGTAATGATAATAACCATCAGAGGGGGCTCTTTGGAGCTCCGTTTAGGAGGCCCTTCTGCCAGCAGAGGCATGAACATTCGATTGCAGAGCTGCACACCTTGTACGTGTGTAAAATGCCAAAAAGTTTTGCCGAGTTTGGCTGTGTGTACACGGGACCCACAGCTTCACGGTGATGCCTGCGATGCAACTGCCGTTTAACATAATTGTTAAGAAATGTGTGTAGAACCGTCATATTAAAATGTTTAAAAGGACTTTGAGACGGCGAGTAAAAAGTTGTCCACACAACAAACACTTAAATTTAAAAAGATAAAAGAATTGGGATAGATTTGGGTACAAGGTACCCAATTTTCTGCAAATTAAATGATGAATCAGTTACAGAGGTTGATTGTTCCAATCAATAGCTTGGCTTATGCTTTTCTAGACGTCTTACCAGGCTCTGGGGTACAATGAACGCTCGGGTGGACATCAGAATCTTCATTCTCATCAACTTCTGGATCTTTTAAATCAAAGACAACAGAACAGATGACAATCAGATGAAGTTAATGCACGTCAAGTAATTTACAAGTCAACTGTTGTGAAAGATTAAGCACTTTTCTGACATCGTAAATGTGTAAATACCACTTTGAAAAGGTGCCATTTTGAGACATAATATTACAGTTAAACCTGTATATACATTAAAACAAACACTTTCAAAAGAACATGGACTTTTTTGAAGATTTTAAAACAACTTAAAAAAGTAAAATATTGGATTTTCAAGTTTATACAAATGAGAATAAGCCTAAATGTGATGGTTCTTGCACTGCACATATGGTCATTTTAAAAATTGAAGAAAGCACCCCAACTAAAAAACGTGGCTCACCTCAAATATCAAACAGCTTCTCTCTTTAGTCCCTTACAGTAATGAGCTTGCTTTGCATTTCATTACTTTATAATTTAGTTTCTTGGGGGAAAACTAAAATAACCTATTTGAAATTAGAAACCCCAACAGAATGTTTTTGCCCTTTAAACTCTGCTAGAAAGCAAGCTAATGCATGGTAAATGCCTTCACATTCACAAACCCGCTCAAGCTAGCTTACACCACCACCACCACCACCACGGTGAAATCTCGGGAACGCGTCTGGCGGAGAGCTGCGTGTCACTATTGAGTGAGCAATGACCTCCAGCCTCCGTCTGGCTGCCGGCTTCGCGCTTCTGGATGTTGCCGGCATTGCCGATCCAGTCCTGGCTCTCGTCCGCGCAGTCGGCGAACGCACAGCACTGGTACGCATAAGCGGCCACCAGAGTCCTGCAAACAACGGCGGAGCAACTCGCGTTTCAATCGACCCATCAAACCAATAAAACGTTCCACGACCTTTGTTTATAACTAGCCGACATCACGTTCGGAGGCAAAAGAGGTTCGTTTGTAAGGGAGACCCCCCCCCCCCCACCCCCCCTCCAATAAAATTGGGAAAATACGGTTCCAAAATAAATTGTACAAATCGATACATTTCCAGTATGAGCGACATCACTGGCAGAACAATCCAATGCAGTGTAATACATGGGTTTTCACCAATAAAGGAATTGACTAATCGCTTTCAGGCCAACCGATGTTAAGCAGACGAAGCAAAACTAACAACATCAGCTGGCGTACGGAGCAGAGCCGAGCTGATCGGACACACGAGCAGCAGCTGGCAACAGTAGACTATCAAGGGAGAGAGTGAGCAACTCCATTCAACTGTGAAGAAGTCCCGAGCCAAACGTTGCCCATCGTTGCAGAAGAACAAGCGTTAACAACCCGAAAATGCATCGGCACGACCGTGAGAATGCATGCAGCAGAACTGACTAATCGTTTCAAAACAGGACGCTCCTTAAAAACACGTTTGTGTATTCAGACTCCCTTTTGGGTAAAGAACTTCAGCATAGTGACGTTAACCCACAGTACGGACACTAGATACACCTTCACATAAGGGAAAATCATCTTGATACACATTGTTCAAAATTAACACACCACAATGCCGTGTTAGGGATTTTAAATCGAATGTCATAACAGGCTAACCAAACGCATCCCAGCAAAATGAGCGCGCCCCCTCAACGGTGCGCAACGTTTACAAACCGTGGGATGGCGCACACAGTGATGTAACGTTGCAGCAGGGGATTACCTAAGCTTGGGAAACTCGGACTTGACGGGGAAAAGCATGAGGGCTTGGTTTCCAGCCACCCTCAGCTCCGTGAGCTCCTGGAGCCCCGAGGAAGGGAGGGAATTCAGCTGGTTGGAGCTCAGGTCTCTGTAGAGGCAAAAGGAAAAGTTAAACAACGGGCCTGTTACAATTCAAATATTACCACCCCAAGCCATCAATTTGTCACGTTCAGGAGTCACGTTTCGAATCAAGAATCAATATTTGTCTTTTATTATTGTAGTACACTGTACCACCCCTCTAATGGCTGTGGAAGGGGGGGTGTCACTTGAACAAGTTACATCTAGCGTGTAAAATGAAAAGGCACAACTCTGCTTATTGCTTGTTCACGCCAACTGCTGGTCCCTGCGAAAGGGAGCTCTCGAGAGCCTCTTAAAGGGTAGTTTGTCCTCTTCCACACTGGCCAATTGTCTTGGAAGATGTGGGATTAACCCACACTTTATCGGCTGCATCGTTACATTTGTGTGCATGTAGAACTTCTTTCGCAAAATACGTAGCCAACCGCTCTAAATCGGAGGTGCGGGGGAAGGACGACAAACTAAAACACAAAAAGCACAAATGAACTGCTTTTTGCTGGATGGATCGAGGTGGGAGAGTTTTTTTTAAACTTGCCTCATTACTTCAGCTGCGATGCCAGGAGATAAAACTGGCAACCTCTGGATCTGATGGCATTCGTTTGTTAAGTAGGTTGCTGACGTACCTTTACCGGTTGAGTGTTATTGCTCTTATATGTATGGGTTTTATCCAAAATGCCTATATACTCAACAAGAAATTGTCCAAATCTTCCTGTGTTCCACCCTCAACAAGAATTATCGACAGAAAAGTTGAGGCTTTCCTGGGTCAAGAAAAGGGACTTTTCTTTTATTACTTTGAAATGCACAGTAATATTGTAAAATTGTCAATTCAGTGGACACAATTTCAGATCACCTTGGAAACGATCTTTAAAAACACTTAAATACGCTGGAAACACAATTGCCCGTTTCGCTTGAATCGACAAAGACTACCCCGAGACAATGTTTTACTCACAGTTTAGTGAGAGAAGCGAGGGACTTAAACGCTGTCTTGTGAATGCTCTCGATCTGGTTTTCACTCAGGTCCCTGTTGAATATTCATTCAATTGATAAAAGACAACAATCTGCCGTCTGGAAACGTAATACATAGCAGGTTAAGTCAAGTCTTGATTAACGTACACAAACTGTAAACTTGTTAGAGATGCAACTTGAAAATACGAGTCCCAACAGTTTGCTATGTTCCCGCTAAACCACCCGAACAAATCGAACAAAAAACCAACGTTAATTAGACTGGACTAATTTTTTATACAATATTTTCCAAGACTTAAAACAATAAAAACTGACAGCTACAGTTCCAAAGTAGTTTACACAGCAGTACTATAATAACAGAGTTGACAATACACTTTTAGCGATTGCTAATAAGCTTTCTACCCTGCTGCAATAGCATCTTAACTCACACTTCAATCGGCTTTCAAATGAACAATGTAAAGGCTTTAGATACGTGAGTTTTTAAAACAGTAGCTGTGCTTGTGTAATGCAATAACAACGCAAGTGAGATTTGATTTACAAAGTGTACGTACAGGCTTCGAAGGGAAGACAGGCCCCAGAACGTTTGGTTTGTAATATCAGCCAGCATGTTGTGTTGAAAGGAGCTAAAGAAAACATTCAATACATGTCATTAAAATAATATCAGTCACACCTGAAACAAGGATCAAATCATTTGCATGAATTCTGGAGAAGGCTCCATTGCTCCCTTAGAATTAACTTTAAAAAAAAAAATAAGGATGGTAGATAATGTTAAGATAAACTAACTTGATAGATTGCTTATGGTCTCTTGAATCATTGTGTTTGTGGAAAAAAATATTGAACTGCTGCGGGAAAGGAGTAATCACACATCACTCTTTAAAGATTTATTTGTAGTTTGTAGGAAAATAATTGAAAGGCATAATTGAACAGTTGCTGCTATTGTGGGAACACATTGTTGCCTATCCAGTTCTTCTCCATTTTATAAAGCAATCCCATAAATCGCATCAGTTCCACTTACACAAGACCCCTATTTTGATTGATGATCTGCAGCTACATTGTGATCATTATTAACTTTAAAGTTTAGAAGCAGGTAATTTGTTACGCTTGTCCTATTGAGGTAGGACTGTCAAAGGTTTGCTCTTGTGACCTCATATGTTTTTTTTCCATTTCACTGCACACGGGGGAGTTTTGGTTAAGATTACTTTCCAAAGTAATTCGAAGAGATTAAATACAAATGCTCAACACTGAGTAAAGCGACACATTGGTAAGACCTGAAAACACACTATCCAGCAATATCAGCAGGTCAGTCGTGGTTAGCATACTGCACTATGAACTTAGTACTGGACATCTGTAAAAAAAAAGCTTTAATGTTTATTGGATTCCTCCGATAGGAATACATATTCACATTCTGAACTGGCTAACATCAGCCGCGAGCGATATCTGAACTGGTCCTGGGCACTCTTTCGCAAACCTACACTGACAAGCGTGGTGAAGTATGGCAACCCCCCCCCCTACCGCCCATACCTGCTGAACCATGATTTGGCACTGCGTGGGAAAGCAATGATTCCACATTCGATTGAAAAAAAGGGCTAAACTTTAATTGATTTTATTGTAAATGCTCAGCTCTATTTTTTTGTTTAACTTTGAAATAGAAATGTTCATAAAATAAACACGTGCTATGACTCGTGTATTTTGCGAAATAAAAAAAAAATACTACCAGGCAATTAGAACCATCGATCTTGCATTTTTGCCAACAGAACATCAATTAATAAAAAACATGTTCTTTGGCTAAAGGCAAATATTATCCCAACCTTGTGAAATTTCAGAAAGGAAGGACCCATTATGGGTTGGTTCATCTCCTCCCCCCACCCACTCGTCAGCCACGGAAACTTTGATGAGTCATACAAAATGTTTCCCGCAATGACAATATGGATTATTCACAACAGCCTGGGCAATGTTTTCATTTACGATGCGTTAACTTGTGTCTCCAATGGATAGCAATTCCTAAAAGAACTATTCCAAGGAATGATGCAAACTGCTCTTTCTACCAGCCGGCGTTCAACTTGGCATTAATCATTCTTTCCCCCCTCCCCCCCAATGTTTGTTATTGTTTTTAGTTTAGGAGGCCGGGTCATTTTTCTTTCTGCCAGTGTTTTTGTTGCTTGTCAAACATTCTGCTCTACAAGCTAATGCACGCAGACACACACGATGAATAAGCGTATTTGTGCAAAAGCGATTTGCAGTCACTTAATGCTGGTATGAAAAAATATTTTTTTTGCTTGAGTTAATTTACTCCATTGCAGCCTTCTTGTATTAAGACACCATCAGTTTAAACCAAAACATACGAGCAGGACAGATTTAATCTTACAGACAACTACAATGCTTCTCACGACGAAATAAGAACACTGAACTTTATACGTGGTTTATTTGTGAAAAAGTGCTAAATTATAACTTGATGCGAACGAAAGACAATGATCGGGTCTTGCCAGAGAAAGACTGAAATTCAAGCGTATGAAACATTTGCATTCAAACGTTACTCAGGTTGAAGAGGACATAAGCATTTGGCAATATATTCAAATCCGTATCCTATGTATGTGTGTACGCATATATACAGACACAGACATAAATTCAACCGAGAAGATGGGTATAAACTGAGCAATCATTGGAAGGTCGTTATTAACCAGTTTAAGTCATAACTGGCTGTGATGTTGCCATCCTACCACCTTCCGATGTTAGTTGTTATTTTCGGCTCTCTGATTTTACATTAACAGGTTAAAATTTTCACTCCAACACAGCCACCTTCGCGCGCCGTACCTCGACGTGGCGGTGGCTCTGCGATCTCCCATTAACATGCTAACCTCTCACATTAACATAGCCACCTCAGCCCCTCGCCGTGGAGGCCGCTCGCCGATTTTACATTGACATGCTAATCTTTTACCTGCCAGCCTTTCAATTGGTGGAAAACCAACGCCATCGGGGTGGCTGCCCATCACTTACATTAACATTAGCTGCCCCGCCCATTCTGCTGACATTTGGGCTACGCCCATTTTAAACCTTTATAAAGTTTGCCTTTAGAAGCTAACCCCCTTTTCCCGCTTGTTTTGCGATCGAAACGTCGTAGTTTTTTGTTATTTTCTTTGAACCTATCTACGTGACTTTACCGAAAGACCCAAGGAATACGTGTGTACGCGCATGAGGTTACTTCACTTACATTTCCTCCAGACCTCTGCAGTCGTGCAGCTCTGGAAGTTCAGTTATCTCATTGTAGGAGAGATCCCTACAGAGGGAATGGAAATTGGGGGGGGGGAGGGTTGAGGTTTAGGTAAAGAGACAAGAGAAGTATTTTTCAATCAGGCAGGATGTAGCTCAGTATAACAACATTGCATACACACACATGCATATATACCCCCAAAATAGCCTTAACAGACTCTTGGCGCAAGTGTTGTTAGCGAGTAGCACCTATGAAGGCAGGGACGGCACACGAGGGGGTGGTGGCCAGCACCATGCCCGGTCACCTTTGTCTCCCCAGTAGCGATGTTTACACACCACACCAGGTACTTATTTGAGGCTGAGTCGACCTAGGGGAGGCTCGGGTCCGGTTCAGATAATCGTCACTGTTGTTGGCCGTGATTGAGAATCGAACTCGGGTCGCCAGGTTCATAGCGCAGCGCGCTAACCGCTGCGCAACCGCTCCCCACATTATATATACACAAAGACAAATACACACAGACACATGCATATATACACACACACACACAAGGGGTGGGCGGTCCACTTGTGGTGGAACGTTATTATGATTTTATATTGAGATTTTAGAACATGTGGATGAACAACTTTTTTATCTATTTGTCAAGAATGTAGCTTCTTATTAGAAGGGCCCACGTTGAGCTGCTGCAGTAATAGGGCATTAATACGGTGGATTTTAAGTGCAGTTTAACATTATTAGCTTGGCAGGTCCTGCTATTGGGGCTCCCTTACCAAAACTACAGGACACAAAGAGGGAAAAAAGCCGTTGGGTTTTCTAAAACCACACAAAAGCCTAAGAGAGATATCTGTGAAAATAAGGGCACGTTAAGTTTGCCGATTGCGTTGTTGAGAGTGCAGTGCAAGTCAGGCCATTATTTGCCTACCGACGGAGAGAAGCATCACAGGGAGTCTTGCGTCTACACACTAAGTGAGTCTGAGAGGGGCCACCATGGGGGGGGGGTAAGAAGCATAACTAGCATCCTACTGGCTATTGCAAGATTCGCAGGCTAAGTAACACTGGCAGCTCACTACCACCAAAAAGACAATGATCCCCCCCCACCCGTATGGCCTGTAATAGACTGTTGGGGAAAGTGTTGTTAGCAAGCACCTACGAAGACCAGCACGGCACACGAGTTGGTGGGTGACCAATACCACGCCCGGCTGCCTTTGTCCCGCAAGTGGCGATGTCTAAACACCGCACTGGGCACTCATTTGAGGCTGAGTCGACCGAGGGGAAGAAAACCCAGGACCAGTTCAGATCTTCGTCAATGGTGTTGGCCGTGAGTGGGAATCGAACTCGGGTCGCCGGGTTCGTAGTGCAGCGTAGCGCTAACCTCTGCACTACCGGCTCCCCAAAACCATCACCGCCATCAACACTACCAACGGGGGCGAGTGGGTGGCGGGGGAGGAGAGACAACAGGGAGGAACAAGAACGCTCCACAACAACATACCAACAGATCAGGTTTGAGACACTTAGCCACGGGCCAAACATGCAGAGCGCCTGTCAAAGGGCCTTTGTTGCCGCTTGATTTCACGTGCGTGCCCTGGCATGAGCCGGCGCGCTCATCTGCCTTAAAACATTTCAATCGCTACCTCTGCCAACTGAAAATGTAAATACGACTTCGCGAATCGAGCACGTGAGATTTATAAAAGAGCGGCCACAAATCTGAATGCTGTAAAATTACGTGCGAACCCTTTACCAAAGTGATAAATGTCCGCGCTGGTCTGCCCGATGAGTTTAAGGCGATTGTAATGACAAAGAATTTTTGTTTTTGAGGAATGAAATAATTATGAAAGCCTCTTGCTCATCACACACAATTTAATTAACTTGCTCGTCACACACATTCATATTGTATTCTTGCGTATGGCAATGTGTTCAGGAGCTAAATGCCAATGGCAAGCCCTGTTAGCTACAAAGAGGGCTTGAGAGAGTTCGTGTAGTTTTTAGATTCCTCTTCCGTTGAAGGAATGCACACTACAGTGATTTACTATACAGCCCAGAGTTACACTTGTATGGCCACAGTCGCACTGTGGATTGTCTTTATATTTCCATTCATGAAGGAGATGTGTGCAGCGGCTTGTCGATGTTCTGATGCGGTTGATTGGTTACATCGGTGTCTTCGAGGAATGACAAAGCCAGGAAGGTGCGATGATGTTTGGGTCTCGAATGAGGCGTTTATATTCTCTAAGTCTGCGTTGTTTCACTCTCTGTTTGCCAGCGTTCTTCTGGAATAATAAGATCTCGTGGATATGTCGCTATGGAACAGGAAGTCACGCTGGGGGCCTTTCTCACTCACACTGGGGCCTTTCACCAAAGTCGTGCATCTGTGGACAACGCTCTGTCACGTTACAGAGCGAAGTTTACAGGCCCGTGCCTTGGTTGTCACGTGCAATGATTTTGCACCCGTACTTCAATTGTCATCTCGAACAAAGTTCACACAGGCCGAACAACTAATTTGCTACCGTTACTGCTATCACTTTAGTGCATGTTATCAGTTCAAACTGTAGTAGATTACCTGCATTATTTATTTATTAAAAGTTATAATTTTACTGTTGTTGCAAACTACTTTTGGCGTTTTTTTTACTACTGATATTTTAAGATGATGTTTTGAACACGTATTTTTTTTTGTATAGTTATTGTAACGTTTCTTTCACGTTACTTGTTAGTGAATAAAACTGTTGGTTTTCCTAATTATTCTAACAATAGCCTTAATTTTTTTCCAAGAAAGCTTTTCCGAGCCTCATTGGGATGTTTGACCAATTCCATTAAAAGAGCGTTTGCTTTATTCTTAATTTACACCATTTCAGAAATGTTTCACATGTGCCTTATATTTCGGCTTTCCATTGCCACGGAGACTCCACGTCTCCGGTTTTGAAGTCGTCTTCACATTCAGAACCTTTGTCAATGTGAAAATGGGCTTTGGTGACAGCGGCCACGCTACTGACGTGACAGCGCATCAGCCCTGAGTGCCGCCACCACTGTTTTAGTCATTCAGAAATGAAACCTGTAATTTTCCGCAGCCAGCTGTGCATTTGTGAGCGAAGCGTCATGAAAACAGACACCCGCCCGCCCTCCGCCCCCAAGCCCGCCCTTCTGCATCGACACCGCAGAGCAGTTTAGCCTCAGAGTTAATGTCACCAAAAAGAGCCCACAGAGCAAAGCACGGACAGCTCTTGACAAATGCTGTCTCGTCACACCGCATGTAACTGTGCTTGAGTTATTGAGGAATTCTTTATGAAAAAAAAAGGGTTTCATTTACAACACTATAATTTGTGTGTGCCAGAGTGGGAGCGCTGTGGTTAACACTGCACAATGTTGCACGATGAACCTGATGAACCGAGCAGAAATCCCAATTTGGGCTGACATTTGTGGCGGGAGATCTGAAACATAACTTGGGCCTCCACAGGACTTGACTGAGCCCGCAATGACCAGTTTTGTTGAAGTATGGTCACAAATCCCAAATGATGCAATTGAGTGGGGAGGCCTTCATCCAGCAGTGTACTGATGAAGGTAATGTAAATAATTATTATATGATTTAAATGAATGTAACATCTTCATAAACAAAACTAAAGAGCATTTCTACAGGAATCAGATTACTTTTGAACACATCAAATGGAATAATTGTTGGCTTTTATAATGAACCGATTTAAATTGTGGAGCATTTTCTGTTGGACTTAAATGTATTTGAAGTTGCTTGCAGACAATTTTGTTAAAATGGTCATCAATGCACGTTTGCTTTATGCGAAGAGGCATACGCACAGCACACTGCGCATACCCCTGCGACGAAAGGACAATGGGTGTTTCAGGCAAGGTAAACCGAGAGGAGGGGAGGGGTGAAGAAAAGGATTGTGGGTAGGGTCATCAGTGGGGGCGGCCGCACTTACAGGACTCGCAGTTGCCCCAAGGCCTGACAGATGTCACCGGGAAGACGGGTGATTCTGCTCCCAGTCAGTGTCCTGCAGGACACGCATCATTGGAGGTGGGCGGGTGAGGGGGGGGGGGGCGGCAAATTACCAACGCGGTCTCATTACCAGCCCAGCCAATTACGGCAACTTAAGGAACGTCTGCTGGAGAGCCTCTCCCAACAACCAACAACAACAAAACTTCGACGAACGGGATGTAAAAAGTGAGGCGGCAGGTGCTCTGCTGCGCAGTGAGATGCGCCCAGAACTCACAGGCTCTCGAGGTTGGTGGTTCCGGTCAAGTTCGGGAAGGTGTTCATGTCGCTCACACCACGGAGAAATCTGCGCAGCACAAAGGCGGCGGGGGGGGAGATACGAGAATCCATTCAAAAACACTGCCGCCTTCCCTGGTTAAACGCCACTGAATTGAGATACGGACTGCACATGTAACATAGCAAGGTCCGTGACAAATCTCACTTGAACTAATTTAGCTGGGGGATTTGAAACAGAGCGACTAATGTCGACATATCCCACAGATGTATAATGGCCCCTCTTACTTTCTTCTCACCAGTTATTGAGTGAAGAACATGAAAGCAATGTCTCAACATCTTCCAGAGCAAAAGTGTCAACAGATTGAATGTGTGTACCGAGGATTGGTTGAAGACAAGTTTCTCCCCGTTATTTTCGTGGGGTATCTATACATGGATCACGCTGTATAAATTCGCTGAAAGTTTTCTTTCTCAGCGTGAAGCCAATTGAGTTAGACAGCTGTTTTTCAAGGGCGACTGGGTCAGCAGATGGCATGGTTAAATCCTGTCCTGTGATGCTGTGGATAGGAATAAACAACTTTTTCGACACATTGCAAGTTCTAATCAAGGTCAAAGGTCAATCATGCCTGTTATCCTCCTTGAGGTCTATGGAACAAGCACCACTTTTTGTTGGAAGTCCATAGTGATCGTCCTATGGAGAGACGAGCCATTGCCATGGGAATGTGGAATTTCCACCACTGGCTCAGCAGGTTCACCAATGGCGTTCAAGAAGAGAGACACTGGCTTTTTAATCTATGAGCTGACTATATTGTCCGTTCTCTATTCGAAAAAAAAACCTGTGCCCTGCTAGTTAAGTGACAGTCATTAGCGATGTTAATGATTATCATGGCTTTCATAATATAACCATTTAGAACATCAGTTAAAATGAACCGTGCGGCAAGACGTATCTACAATGTATACAGCAACATGTACGGAGCTTTTGTGCAAGGATTTGTTTTCTTTGCTGTTTCCTACAAAATGTGTTTTTTTAGGTGCAAAGTTCACATTCTACACGGATGTCAAAATTGTTATTCCTTAAAACACCGCGCCAAGAAAACATTTCAGAGTGACAAGAAAAAATATATCCCATTAAAACAAACACTGGTTAGTTGCAAAAACATACTTAGACATTTTTAGCAGATTTCTGGTGGGTGAACACATCACATTATAATGCTTTTTCCACTCTTAGTTTCAACTTCATTACTTTCCACACACAGATCATCTTCTCTGGGCTCAATCCAGCGAAATCTACAAAATGTATTTATTGTGGTTAAATCCCTGGAATCTTTTTTTTTTATGGAGGCAACGACAATTGAAGCATAATGGTCCACATTTATGCATATGACATCACCGGGATATCATGACGGAACAACCAAAAAAAATCAAACCACACCCACTGCGAGTATTCCACAGTGCGACCCACAACCAAACTTCCAAAGCTCACTCACAAGGTCTGCAGCTCGGGAAGGTGTTGGAACGTCGTTCTGCCGACCACACGCAGGGGGTTGTCGTACAGGTGTCTGCGACACAAACGGAGACGAATCAATGCCCACTTTGTCCCCTCGCTTTAGACACAGGCTCCCCCGCACCACCTCACTAGCCCAACAGGAGAGATCAATCTTGATTTGAAGCTTTCGTGACTGCAGGAATCCATACTCTTTGGTTCTTTCGGTAAAGTCACGTAGGTAGAAAATTAATAGATCACGACGTTTCGATCGCAACACAAGCAATCGTCATCAGGTGAGACAAACACAGCAGGAGAACTGCTGAGGCATATGACATCACCTTTCTTACCGAGCAAATGCATAGGGTTTTCCCTCTAAAAATAATACTTGCTATGTCTTTCAAGATCATTTTATGTAAAATGTTATTTAAACGATGAACAATTCATTGATAGACCATACATAAACACCTGACTTTTCAAGTAATTGCAAGATAATTGTATATTATTAACATGGCATTTGTAAAGCACGCACCCATTTCAGCAGCTAGTGTTATCTCTGCATCATGTTAAATGAGCATGGGGTGGTGGTGCTCATTTTCATTGGTGATCCTAAATGAGTGCTGTAAATTCCACATTCCTATGATAGGCAGCAGTTCACCCTGAGCACAACCAACCGTTGACTTCTGACACAGTGGTACGCATTTTTTTATAAACCGCCAAATGATAACATCCTGAAGTTATGATGGGGGGTAAGCAGATCAAATTATTGAGATGTGAACTCATAACTTTCTAATTTTGAGTCGGGTGTTCTGCGATAGCCTCTCGCTCATCTGTATCAGATAATAAAATCGCATAATTTAGGCATGTGCTTATCATCTCAACCATAATTGCCTTACAAACACTGAACATGAAACCATAATTTATTACACTTACATGATACGTATGAGTGGGTTGCTTCCAAAGGCACCTTCAGGTATCACTTCAATGTTATTGCTGTGAATTCCGCTGCAAAAGACATACGTGCACAATTACGGTTACTTTAATTGCCATCTTCCTAAGCCGATTACCCGCTAAGCCTTCAGCGCGGGAGAGAAGTGCGCGGGATCCGACGCTAAAATTAAACACGACTGCAAATCAACCGTGGCGGCGGAAATGCACCCAGTGATTGGCACAATCATTGGCCTCAATATGAATAAATTGTGAGGTTGCCTGTTTGGCCCGGGAAGATAATGCCATGTCAGAGCACTCCAAGCCAGCACCGCTGAGACCCTGGGTTCGAATGCGGCCAGCCTCGCGCGATTAAAACCGGGTTCGCAAATGTGGCGAGAGTCTGTGGGTGCTCTGGCCTCAGTATATGCATTCATGAACAAATATATCACGTACAAGTTTAATTTTGGCTTCTTCCAGATGCAATTATTTATTTCGGTGTGCTTCCCATGCAATTGACGCATCTCTACATATCTGGGCACAGGAGAAGGTGCATCACCTAGCGAGACAATTGAAGGCACCTCTCGGAAGCTGATCCCGCAAGGTCATCTTCCAGAAAACATTCTCTACCATGGAGTAATGCATGGCTTACTGCAATGCTTACGCCAAATGGTACAATTGGAGGTTCTTGGATGTATGTTTATTTACTTCGAAAAAAAGGTGGTTAAATTGTGTTTTTTTTAAGAGAAAGGAGCTTTTCATCTATTTCTTTGCAATAAGATCTTACATTGTTCGGAGAATACGCTCTATATTGCATTCCACGGTATAAGTGGGCATGTGTTACCGAACGGTATGTATGACTGTCAAAGCTGATGCAAGTCAAGGTCAACTTGTACCCATGCTCGAACAGGCACTGGAAGGTGCTCACATGCATGAGCGGCCCTGAGCCGTGGTAAAAAAAGATCGATCTTTAAGGATTTAGAACAGCTATTTAGCCATTCGTCTCTTGCGTATTGTTGCACGTGGGAAGGCACCAGCCTACCAAAAGGAAACCATGCGTATATGGGGGACAAGAACAAGGCTACCTCACACGATAAATCAGCAATGGTGACATGGACAGGTTGGCAACATCACAAAATCCCAACCATTTTCCTCGGATTTGTTTAATTGTTTGCCTGGAAGTAATAGAACACACTGGGCCAGGATTAACTTTTTTTTTTACCAGGTAAGGCCCAGTGATCTACATAGCGTTTTCAGAAGCAACCTGGCTGCAAATAATATTTTAATGCAGTGGCTTATCATGTTGAAAATGATAACAGCCAAACACTCTAAACGCATGTTGATTCTAAATGTGGAGGAAAAAACCGGAGGACCTGGAGAAAAATACACGCGACCACGGGGACAACATGCAAACTCCAAATATAGAGGTGTCAGGGTCTGGATACCAGGTAAGGTAGTTAACATATCGCCACCATGGCATCTCAGAGGAAATTTGTAGATGCAATGAACAGACACAAAGATCCCCAATATCGCCCTCAGACTGTTGGGGAAAGTCGTTGGTGAGCAACTATTATCAAGGCTGGCACAGAAAATACGGGGGTGGATAGTGACCAACACCATACCTGGCCACATCTGTCTCCTGAGTGCTGATGTTTACAAACCGCACTAGATCGTTGTATAAGCCTGAGTCAATCTACGGGAGGAAGGCCAAGAACTTTATTCAGATATCACCTGCGACAAAAATGTTAGCCACGGCCGGGAATCGAACCCAAAAATGCCAGGACCATAGCATATTGTGCAACAAATGCGCCACCGTTCTCACACAAGACACACACACAGGTGACACTCACAGCTCCTTGAGGTTTCCAAGGGACTGAATGGCAGACGGAAATTCCTTCAAGAGGTTGTAGTTTAAATCTCTGCGAAAGACAAACAAAAAAATACGGTAATGCATTTTAAATGGGTTGAGGAATTATCTAGCATGGCTTTCTGAGCATAATACATTTGTCTTTTTTATATTGCGGAATGCAGGCTTGCCTTCTTATGAAAAAAGCATTGCTTGTTAAATCCTATACAGGAAGACACACCCAACTGCTTGCTCATTCAATAAACACCATCATGGTCAACACATAAACAGAAAACCATAAAGTGCATGTTGGCTAGAACACAAACAAAGTGTTCCTGTATACGGCACTTTTAATTTTTGCAGAGAGCCCCCGAGAGCCAGCCACCGCTATTCCTGTACGCGCATAAACATACTTACGAGTCATTGGGACGGGGTGAACATTACACTCATTCCCATGACACGATGTTGCCGCATCAGGAGGACTTGGGACCACGTGTGTACCCGCTGGGTTGGTTCCCAAACTAGGGGCCAGCGTTGCCCTCAAACAAATGGTCAAGAGTGAGAGCTGGGGGATGAGGTCACAATAGACAACCTTACCCCCCCCCCCCCCCGCGTCTGACCTTACACTGTGACCCATGGTCTTTTGACCATCAATACGCCAAGCTGAGAAGATTTCTACTGCACACAGCAATGGCCAACAAGTAGAACTGCATGGCATGTCCCTCGATATTAGACATAACTCCTTATTTCAAAGTACAATGTTTTCAGCATTTCATGCGATCATCATTTCCCACCTTCAAAACGCTGAAATGTGTTAGTTAAAATATGGTGCCAAATTGTATATACAGGTGAAGAATTATTTCACTTGACTTTACTGAAAAACCACCAATCCCCCCTGACAATGTTTATAAAGGTTAGCCATTCTTTCTGTGCAATAACTTAAACAGATTATTCTAATTCTAATTATTCATTATTGAACGTTTGCATGCACAATGGTTAAACTAAAGACATTCTTGTGTAAACAACACATAGGATTATTATTATTATTATTTACATACAGTTACACTGTACATATTCACACAACCTCCGCCTGCGATTCGATGGGTCACAATTTGGGGAAATTATTTTATAAGAATCGATTCTCCAGCACGGTGGCCAATTCTACACCTAGATATTCACGACCAATTGTTTTATTTAGTGTTAGAGTTTTATAGTTGAAATTTACATTATACCTACACGATCTAACTCAAGAGACCGATTTTAAATCACGGTGGTGAACGTAGCCACCAGTTTTGGCTGAAGTAATCGTGTGAACACTTAGCATGCAACATTTATCAAAAAGGAACAAATCGATTCTCACGTGTGCGATTCGATGCATGCAAAGCACACTTAACAATAAATGTTTAACCACAAATTGTTACACAGCAAGCTTGCAGTTCATGTGGCATTCAAACTTTTTGTATAAAGTACAAAGGTCATACGAACACAATATTAAAACCGATTTGGAAACGCCCATCAAACTGACCACAGTTGTAACATTATATTTATGTTAATTTCCATCTGGAAATCTGACCACTTTAAATTCCATATTTTTGGTTCTTTCGGTAAAGTCACGTAGAAGGGAAACAATAAAAACATTACCGAAAGAACCAAGAATATGAATCCCTGCAGTCACGAAAGCTTTAAATCAAAACTTTAAATTACGTTAAAAAACAATTTTACTTCTCACTCTGCTTGTCACAGATCGGCTGCAAGGCAACACAAAGTCATACAGGGACAATTGTCGGGGGGGGGGGGGGCGATACAAGCTTTGCTTGAATTTCATTATAGGAATCCACTAGTGCGGACTGGGCCAACTTACTAACCATCATTGGGCGCTGTGAATGTGACATTTGAGTCGGCGAGATGTTACTTTGGCCAACAGAAAAAGAACAGAGCTGGGGCTGAATTTTACAGTCAGGTTTTACATCCCGCTGCAACAATTTTAATGGCATTAAAATAGTCTCTGTCACACGTGAAACTCTTTATGGGCTACAACATGCTTATTTGAAGTAATTTATTTCATATTGCCTGAAAGATTGGTTTGTTTCCTTAAACCGTGTAAACCCAATTAAAATGTTAGGTTGTACAACGCATGTATTTATATATATATGCATGTAAACACAAACTCTCTCACTTAATTCGATTTGCTTCATTTTGCTAATGGAGAGCCTTTTGAGATGGCACAGAATGTTGCGAGAGAAACCATGGCAACTAAATTTACCGTATTTTACACGGTTCAGTAGAGAAATATCTCCCCTTGCAAAGAGACAAACAGTGCACCATCAAGAAACACTGATTTTGTATGAAACAGCTCAACCGACTGAGATTCAGAATAAATTTACAAACATTCACGACAGAATCTCACACAGACTGCAGGTCGGAAAAGGAATGATATGTAAATGTGAAGGATTAATAAGGATTACAGTGAGTATGTACGTGTCTGCATACACACACGTATATTAAAATGATATACCCGGATTTTCCAACTACAAAGGTTCACAAGTTTAAGAGACCCCAAAGGGTAGGAGCTGCAAACACCAGCGTGACAGGCTGATGGATGGCAGCAGCCTGCAGGTGAAGTGCACATGTTTTTCCTGGCTGCCTGGCTGTCAAGCATCACCATGCATCTCCCCCCTGCTACATACTTCAACCCAAAATGCTTTCCTCTCTCCATGGGTTGCAGCCATTTTTCACCGACAGCCGTCGCATTTTTCTCAAGCGATGCAGGCTCGACGTTTGTGAAGAATGGCTCGCTAATGCCGCGTATCGCGCACGCATTACGACACGCGCTTATATTCACCGGGGGGGGGGGGGGGGGGGGGGTACGCAAGCAGTGCGCGCGCGTGCACGCATGCGTCTGTGCCGGCATGTTAAGGCTCGGACACGTGAACGTTTCACGGGCAGGAATGATGGTAGATCGCAGTCGCGACGAGTGCACCGCACCATAAATCTAAGAGCAGTCTTTACTCTGAGCTATGCCTCAACCGGTACATTTAACGAGCGATGGCAATTCTTGTGGTGCGGTTTCATCAACACTCGCATGGCAAAGGCAATGCCTTGTACTTGACACACCCCACCATCCCATGTGTCTTCATTATCATCCATCCACTACTGGATGAAGGTCTCTCTTAATCGTCACCATCCCTCACTATCACGATGCAAAAATCGATCTGGTTCCTGGACGTAACCAGATACGTCCAAGAGGATAGCCACAGGTGGCTATCCTCTTGGGAGCGCTCCCTCCTTATGCTGCCGCTCCGCTGTCAGTCTACAGCCGTCATCCAGTAACCCCAACAGCGACGTGCCCCGTGCTTAAGCCACTCTACTTAACAGGCAATATCATCTGTATTGGTTGAATGTGCTCTCTGATCCATGTGTTTGTCGTTTTGTCTTTCAGCAACTCTTAAGATGTACTAATCCATGCCTTCTTTTCGAAAGTTTCAGCTTTTCTTCTCCTTTATTTGTCGGTGCTCATGTTTCTGATCAATATGCCACAGAAGGTAACGTGTACCGATTATAAACACTCTGCTCAAGACACACTGCTGGTTTGCTTTTTCATTATAAAGTTCAGATTCACAAAAGCACTCCGACCTGCTCTTACATGCCTCTATCGTCATTCTTATCCCAATTCACCTTCAATAATTGCCACAAGTATACACACAGCAAATATGTTAATGTGTTAATCACACATATGCGTGTGCTTTCACATGCATTTTAATGCAGTCATTGACATCAATTACCTTAACAGCATAAACAAATTATTGAGCCATACTGTGCAAGCTGTGATGCACATGTACAAACTCACAATCAGTTTAACACTGAATGTGAGTTTGGGTTAGATCGCATAAATATTAGTCTTAAAAGGAACGCTCCTCAGCAGGTGTTGTTTTTAGACAATGACCTTCACGGTGGCGAGAAGGGTACCCCAATGGCGAGATGTTAACCACCTCGCCTGCTATGCAGGCGGTCATGGGTTCGATCCCGACCCGGACGCCTGTATATTTGGTGTTTGTACGTTCTCCTTGTGGTCGCGTGGATTTTTATCCGGGGCCTCAGGTTTCCCCCCCCCCCCCCGCCACATTTAGAAACATTTATTTATAGTATTTGGCTGCTACAAATTTCCACTTGATAAGCCACTTCAATTGAGCTGCTGTCATTTGTGGCCATGTCGCATCTGAAAAATAGCTACATAACTCAATAAAAATATTGAGTTAAATTTTAATGACGCAACCTCTAGGGCCTGTGCTGTGAAGAAGGGCCATTGCCAGAAACGTTGGTGAGCAATTAATGTCCCTAAGGGCAGTGCTATTAAAGAATGTGCAGAGATTCTTTTTAGCTCGTGAAATACTTATTTTCTGTTCAGCATGTTTTTTTCAAATCGAGTCTTATTCCTTAGAGGTGCCACCCCCCCACATCCTCAAAACGTAATGGGGGGGAAACATTATGGTGCGTGTGGTAATAACGATTTGGCTTTCGAGCAGACAACTTAAACGAGACAGATTGTCACGGTAAACGGTCTTGATCAAAAGAAACCATCCACTTCGTCGAGAATAAATCACTTTAATGATTACCACTTCTATATTTATTGCGTTTGCCTGACCTTTCATTGTTGTACAGTGCCCACACCAGTTCATTTCATTTTTATTTTTGTTTAAAATAATAGCTCGGGCTGCTGATTTACAGCCGACACCAGCTTGCACGAAATATCGGTTTCTGACAGTAAATCTCGAAAATGTTGTCGGCAAACATTCATTGCAAAGGAATTTGAGGCCAGTGAAGGCCAACACTCGTCTACAGAAAGACAAGCGTGTAATATATCAAAGTGTTCATTTATTTTTTGACAAAATTCTGTTGGAAAAGCGGGAGAGGTCGTTAGCATTAGAGATTTTCGGGGGTTTCAGTGACTTACAGGGTCTCAAGGTTATCAAGTCCTTCAAAGCAGTGTGGATCCAAGCTCTGAATCTTGTTGTTGTGAAGGTGTCTGAAAAAAATGAGATAAGATATAATTATAATAAATATAACAAAAATTCAGTATAGATGCGGCACACTTGTCTAATTTAGCACATTTAGTGCTGTAATTTATTTGCTATTGTCATCTTGGTGACCCAGGTCACTCTTGCAAATATGAGACTCATCCAACATAAACTTCAAACTAAAACTTACATACTTTCTCTTCATTGAAAAACAAAACCTTACATGTCTAAAGTTGGTAAATGGAATTGACGAGATCGTGGAACACACACAGCACAAACCCAGAAATACATCACACAACCACAAAAACCTGCACGCAGTAATTAATTGAATCTTCTCATTTTGCTCGGCAATATTAAAGAGAAACAAAAAAAAATTCAAAACGACAAACCGCATGCCAGATTTGTTGAACGACAGACAATCAATAATTTGGGGGGGAAAAAAACCATACAAATCCACAAAAATCTCCACAAATTGTGCAACGTGTTTATTATTATTTAATGGATTTCAGGCATAGTGGGATAAGCATGGCTTTAACAACGCTATCGATTTGTGGGTGTTTGTGCAGAGTTAAAGATTAACTGTGGGAGATTATGTGGGCATGAAAAACTACACCCGGCAGCCAATGGCATCACAGCACTTAAGGTTAGGGGTTAAAGTTGGGTCCTGCTCCCAGTGGAGATAAGGGATAGCCAGTCTAGGTGTTTATGTACCGAGTTGTTCAGTGCATGTCCCACTGTATCCTAAACAAACCCACAAGCAGCAATAAACTCTGGTGTTGCAAGGAAAGACAAGCAAATGCTGAAATGCGCGTGTTTTTGTCTATGTGGTAAGGGAAAAAGGGAACATTACGCAAAATGATTCAACATTCTCCTCCGATCAATAGCCCTGCACCTGGAAGATTATTTCTGTGTGGTTAAGTGTTATCCCTACCGTTGCACATCAACTGTTTACACACCTCAAGGGTATCTTATACACCACTGCTACTGGATCTGCCTTAAAACGTGTATACTTATGCTGTCTTCAATACACAAAGGCAAAGTCCCCTGTATAGCTTTTATAGTCAGGTTGGGCAAGTGTTGTTTGCGAGTACCTATTAATGCCAGCATGGTGCGCAAGAGGGGTGAGGTGCGGTGCGGCGAGGACGGATACCCGACCGCCTTTATCTCCCCAGCGCTAATGTTTACACACCACACCAAGTACTCATTTAGGGCTGAGTCGACCTTACGAGAGGCCAAGGACCAGCTCAGCTACTCATTAGCGATGTTGGCCATGAGCGGGAATAGAACTCGGGTCGCTGGGTTCATAGCGCAGTGCACCAACTACTAGAGCACTGCTCCCCACTAGAAGACACACATACACAAATGTGCTTAATTTATGCACTAGGCAAACATTCTTACATCAAGCAATGTGAATCCTGCTTCCCATAAACCAAGGAAGAGCTTTTCAAGAGTGACAGCTCATTCAAGAGATCTTACTTTAATTATACATAAAACGCATGGGACCCAAGGCTTTTCACCTATCATCAACTCTGAAGAACCCATTTTTAAATTTCTGTAAGTAATACTCGCCACAGGCTGACTTTTAAATGTCTAACTAGGCAGACTATTTTTTTTTGGATACATGGAGTAAGATAAGCGCACATGTGCGCCCCTGACACATTTATTACCTTCAGCTTAACCGTCTAAGCCAAAAGCTCAATCAGCCCAGCCTGAGTTTTAACTCCTCGGTGTGAAAGCCACTATGGTATGGAATAATTGCCTGTGCTAACATGGGTCTTTACCATATCATCCACCTCATGGGCTTTAAATTCAGGGTCTTAACCCCGAGCAATAACTCTAATCTGAACCCTAAACACGTTTGGGATTTTTTAGGGTGACCAATGATATGGCAAACACCAGATATATTACAGTCAACATGGGTTCTGCATGTGGTGTTTTAGCGATGGCCTCTGAACGGTTTCTGTGCGTGTGGGAGGAGATAAAAAATAGGAAAAAAGCACGTTTAAAAAAACACGCAAAAGACGATAAAAAACCGATGTAAAAGGCCAGTCAGGTGAACCATCAAAGATCTTTCTCTCCTCTTAAGAGACCAAAGGAGCGCTTGTGTGTCCGTGTCTGCTGGTGCGAAGTGTGGTGTATATGGGAGCAGTGACGAAGAAGTGAGCATAATATTCATCTGGTGAAGTTATTATACAATGAATAACGGGCTGATTAAGAAAGCGTAAAGTAAACCTCCGGACGGGGTACTTCTGTGGCAAAAACATCACAAAGACAGACTGTCTGGGCAATGCCATTCCCGATCACCTATTAAAGATCGACACAGCCACCTTTGTCTCCCTAATGCGGATGTTCATACACTAGGTACTAATTTAAGGCCGAGTCAACCTAAAGGAGATCTATGAAAAGTTCAGATAATCACAACTGATCATATCCACAACCGAGAATCGAACACAGGTAGTCAGTCTTTTTAGCGAGATGTGCTAACCACTACACGATCGCTCCCAAAAGACAAAGATCTCCCAGATGTAATCTTAACAGACTGTTGGGGCAAGTGCTATTAGCGGGCACCTACAAAGGCTGGCGCGGCACAGAAGGGGGCGGGTGGCCAGCATCATGTCAGACCACCTTTGCCTTCCTAGTGGTAATGTTTACAGATCGCACCAAGTACTAATTTGAGGCCGAGTCAACCTAGGGGAGGCCCAGGACCGGTTCAGACAATCGTCAATGGTGTTGGGCCATGAACAGTAATCGAGCTCGTGTCACCTGGCTCATAGCACAGCGAACTACTACACTACCACTCCCGCACACGCATTCACCGTCCTCTGCATGGCCCAGCAAACCCCGCATTCACCACCACCACCACCAACACCGCCACAGCCGCCACTTGCAACTGAACTGTGCGGGCGGGGGAAGCTAGCGTGTGCGCACGCAAGCGTCGGAAAGACTCACAGCACGACGAGGCTGGTGAGGTTTGCGAAGGCACGCTCGGGCACGGCCGTGATGTGGTTCATGGCGAGCGTGAGCGCCAGCAGCGAGGGCAGGCGGCTGAGCGGTGTCACGGGGATGGCCGTCAGCGCGTTGTCGTCGAGCCACAGGTGGCGCAGCTGGCGCAGCTCCTCCAGGCCGACCTCCGGCAGCTCCGAGATGTGGTTTGCATCCAGGCGCCTGCGGTCACAGCGGCGGGGAGAAATGCCCCAGTGAGCGCGAGCGAGCGAGCGAGCGAGGTCAATAAACCCTCTCCCGTTCCGAGACGTCTGCAAGCCGCAGGATGAGGTGTCCCGTTCACGGCCGAATATCGGAACGCGCAAGCGCGTTTCAGCATTACATTTATTCAGAAGAGGCATAGTGCGCGTTATTTTTAAAGGACAAAAAAGGCACAGTTTTTTGTGCTTGCTGCTGTTTCAATAAAATACAAAATATAAATGGCCCCTCAAGGTTAGACATGAAGAAGCATTGTTTTTAACCTGTGCGTATCGTAACGATGATGATAATCATCTTTCAAAATTTGGGGTTTTCTTCCAAGAAAAATGCTGCTCGAGAACAATGGTGAAGAAGGCCCTTGAATTGCTTCCTATCCATACTGGGAAACACCGTCTCACGTGTATTGCTATGGAGGTGTTTGTCATAGGGCAAACTGACAAATATGTGCAGCCATTGGTGATCGGCTTGAAACTAGAAACCCAACTACCCTTGGGAGGCCCAGTTTAACCACAGAGGACCGAAATCAGGATATGCAGCAGAATCTTAGTGCTGCTAGCTAAATGCCCCTGAAAATCCTGCTACCTCTCCACCGTCGATATAAGCAAATAACCATTATTATTTTTTTTTAAGAATTTAATGGCGATTGTTTCTGTGGAAGGAAGAGCCCTGCCATAAAAATGTGGCGTTGCCACCACTGGCCCAACTGCCAAATGAGCATAACGTACATTTGAGCACTCTAAGACGCATTTTTGGTTGAGTATTTTGGCTGCAAAATGTTGAATGTTCCTTCCCAAAAAACAAACCTAAGATAAAAATACCATTCGAGAGTATTTCTAAACCTTAAAACATTTAAGTACACATCGATGACGTAAACGAGCGTCCACAGTTAATTGCGTTTACAATTTGTCAACACAATAACCCGCGTTTCGTGGGAAACGGGCGGGCGAAACAAACGTTTCGGGTGTGGTCAGCACAGGAGGAGTTTGCCCGTCCGTGGAATTAAAGAGGAGTTGTTTCTTTAAAAGTAACCCCATGAGGCTGGGGTGCGCGGACAAGATCGGCGAATCGGAGCAAAGGACCGCTGTCATCCTTGCGCTCGCACTGGAGGCTACGGATCACAGTTCACTTCGGCGAGCGGAGAGACACAAAGAATATATCGCGCGATGTTTATATCCCGCAGATGGACAAAAAGATAGTACATTTTCTTCCCATCCGTTTAAACTCCATTTAGATCCAGCCATGCATGATTTACGGCAAGCAGCAGTGACGGGGAGGGGTAGGCGGCGGTGGGGAGACAAAGAATGGTTTCAGACCATTTATATTTTTGCTTATTCTTCGCTTGATACCCACAACACCACAGTCTTTCTTTTATTCTCTGCCTTCCGCAACGGAAGCCCAACACGGCAGAAAAGCCATTCGCTGGGGCCTGGCGCCGGAGGTGCATTCACCACAGAAAAAAAAACACAGCTGTCAAGACACCTCACGCTGATCTCATTTTCTGATATGGGGACAGGAGACGGGCCTCTCAACTACGTGACCTTGTTAAAGACATAGTTTCCTAAATGTAAAGACAGTTGGTTTCTTAAAACCGTGCGAAAGGGCTAGACTTACCCACGATCAAAAAAAGTTATTTTTTTTAAAGAAGAGAAAAAGACAATACATTAATCAGTCAGTGTCTCCCTGCCCAAAGGAGAAATGGGTCAGTGCTCATATCTGTTGGCAGACTTGAGGCAATTGTGGAAATTCCTTGTTCCTATTGCTGAGGGGGAGCCGCTCCATTTGAGGACTGCTTTCGGATTTCTACAAAGTGGTACCCATTTTATCAACCGTTGGAAAAACGGCAGCAAAAATCTGATAATGTAAAAACATGTTTCATTTTAGTAATAATTTTGCATAAAAACTAATCGCGTGAAATACAGGGCCTGTAAAGTCAGTGGACCAAAAAATAATGTTTAGTTTTATGTGGAGCTATGAAACAATCTATTTATAATAATCTTCTACATTTATAAGTATTGTTGTAAATGATATGGATTGTTTACAGGAATCTCTCAGGATTATAACAAAATAAATCCGCATATACGTTGAGGAATAAAAAGGATTCATTCCTAGCGTGCAGGTTCACTGCGCGAAGTCTAAAGGTGACTTATCCGAGTGTGGCTTATTTTTAAAACAGGCATTTTTACCCCCTGGTCCAACTGCCCTGACGCCCGATAACATTGCCGCGCGAACCACAATTAAACACCGTAAAGATTACCACGTATTTATTACCTCCTTGGCGTTCATTGCACAGTAGTGCGGTTCCCGGGTTGTCGTTGCAGGCCATACACCCTGGTTAAAAAGGGCACTTTACATTTTTATTTAAACCATCCATTCATATTACCCGGGCCAATTAAGCGGATCTCATGGCGATAGAATTTCATTGGAGTCGGCGTTCGGTATCTCATTTCTCGGTCTCCGCCTGTCTGTCTCTGTCTGTGTGCGTCTCTCTCGCTCTCTAACAGTTTGACGTTTCACTGCTTCAGGGGTGTCATGTCAACGCGTCTTGAATTGTCAAGGCAGGGACATGTTCTCATGGGAAAGGAGCATAGTTGGCCTGCATTCTTCTTCTACTTATTATTGCTGTTGCATTGCAGTACTATCGTGGGCTGTTCCGTGGACAGACTGGCCCCGCCCATAGGAATGAGGAATGTCCACCCACGCCTCAGGGCCATTAATGTAGATGAGCTCATTTGAGCAAGGAGATGTGCGAATGTGGCTTTGATTTGACAGCACTTTACTCTTCTACAGAGTAAACATGAGCAATCTTGGTCATAACCACGCGAAAATGATCGGCTTAGAGTATTGGAGGCACTCACTGGCAGTCGCGATTGTGAAATTTGAATGAAAATAATAGCAATTACGTTTAGAATACCAGTCACTATATTTGCGAACCAAATGACCTATACACTCATAAAAAAAAACACATTTAGGAAATGTAAAAGAAGAAAGAAAAAATCACCAATTTCCTTACCTATTACCCCTTTAAATAGCCTTGCACTTACACAACGAGCTACACTAGCAATGCAACCTATACGATCGTGGCACAAGCTTATGCCACGAAAACCTAACGTTAGGGGCGCACAGGGTAAATGTGTTTAATAGAAAAAAAAACTATCTTCAAATTCAAGCACATGCTATAGGGGGCACTTGTCTGAGTTGTAAGGTGCAGAGCTTTGCTCGGACAGCCACTCCAGCTCCTGAAGCGTGCGCAGGCCACAGACGGTGTTTGCTGTTTGTAATGTACGAGCCTGCATTGCATCTGCCTCCCGCTACACACTTGTTTCCCTTCACATCGTACTATTTGGCAGCCGCGACCACAAAATGCGTAGGTGCTCCCAGCTCTTTCTAGACATGTGGCGAGCGAGGAAGAGTAGGCCAAATACCCTCTTACAGGGGCTCTCTAGTGCTCGCTCTGGGTGGAGGCGCTTCCACAATCAGTGGTGTGAGCAAGCAATTGAAGGGCTGCGCCCTTACCTTTTACGCCCACAAAAAAAACATCCTTGTGGGTTAATCAGCTTTCATTTTTGATAAGCTTCCATTTTTATAATCATTATTATTATTATTTTGATTGTACATATGATACAAAAATATCACATTTAATGCAATAATCTGTTGAGGTACGTGGATGTTAGCAAGTGTCTATTAAGGCTAGCATGACATACGAGGAAGTAGGTGTGGAGCAGCACCGCACCCAGCCACATATTTCTCGCGAGTGCTCATGTTGACACTACACCAGGTGCTCTCCGGTTTAGGCCGAAAAGCTCTTTGGGAGCCTCAGGCCGAGTTTAGACACCGATTGCCAATGATGTGCATGGCCAGGAAATGAACCCGGGCCTCTGGGATCGTATCGCAGTGCAACAGCAACCCAGCCTCCACTTCCGTATATTATGTATCAATATACAGGGCAAGCATCAACAAAGACAACCCCTTATAGCCTTTACACTCTTAGGCCAAGTGCTGTTTGGGAGTACCTATAAAGGCCGGCACGGCACACGAGGGGGGTGGATGGGTGGCCAGCACCACGCTCGGCCGCCTTTGTCTCCCAAATGACGATGCTTACACACCGCACAGACTAAGTACTCATATTGAGGCTGAGGCGACCTATGGGAAGCCCAGGACTAGTTGAGATAATCATCAATGGTAGAGCCAGGAAGTGGGATCCGTGTGTATAAGCATACGCTCGCATGAAAAGTTACTGGAATGGCCAAGAGGATCATGGGGTTGTGAGCAATGTGACGCTGTCAGACGTACAGCGACTGGAGAGAGGGCAAATCACGCAGGGCTTCCGTGGGGAACATCTTCAGCTGATTATTCTGCAGCATCCTGCACCCAGAACACAAGGACAAATGCAATCGTCATCGTAATTTAATGTGCTTCGCATACTTTACATGTCGTCACAGTGTAACGGTTAGAACAATGGACTCTCCATCCAGAGGTCGCCGATTCGATCTCCCGGAGTGACAGCTTAAATTCCCCGGGGTCTCTGTCCACCAAGCAGTATAAATTGGTACACGCCGCACTTAATTCATGGGCAGGTGGCATATGGTGGGGGAAAGTGTGGGTACTCCCACCTCTTCCAAGATGTTCGGCCAACGTAGAAAAGTAGTCCACAAAAAATCCTCATAGCCTTCCATTTCTCATGGTGCCGTTATCAGTGTATTGCTGTGTAGTATTTTTATGAAGTATTTTGCAACTAAAATGCATATTAAGTCGAAATAAGCCTTAGCCATGAGGAATTCTGCTTTGGGATGTTTGGCTAATTGCATGTAACATGTGCTACTACACCAAACATTTTGTTAGTACTTGCATCAACTTTTGCATGCTTTTTGTTGAGTACACCTATAGCCAGATCAAAACTCATCAAGACCGATTTTACTTTAAAATATTCTCATTCCAATTGTTCTATTTGTGGAACATAAAAAAGACAAACCGACCGTGCACAACCCTCCCCATGAGCAGTGGCTCACCCTGCGCTAGAGAAGGGCCCTGTATAAGAACATCAAGACATCAGAACTAAATTCTGATATCCATATTTTATCCACAAACTATGGGGGTTCTGCACTATTCCCCACACTCCCTGCGCAGATAAAGGTTTGTCGCATGGCAGTAAAAAGCGTATTTTTAATTCTCAGAGCTGAAATCTAGCCAATTGTAACATGGTGAGCCTTTTGTATGGCCACTGATAGCTGAGACCAACTTCCTACACTTGAGAACACGGATTAGAACCTCGGATTTGACCTGCAAAGTTTATAATTGATAGATTTTGTTGAGTTTAATAATCCAGCTAAGTATCATCACGCGTTTGTATTCACCCTGTGCATGCCGTCAAATTCCATGTAATCATTCATTGAGGGGGTCGGAGGGATCTTAAGTTTCAAGCAAGCAAAATATTTCATCCAGTTCAACATACTTTTGCACAGCTATAAATTTGCCTGCGCAGAGAAAACGATTAGGTTTTTATTTCTGTTTTATGACTCGGGCAAAGAAGATCCCTTGTGTGAATCAATGTCTAAAAGCAATAGAATCACCGTGTAACACGCTCACTTAATGCGATCACGGGAGTGTGGTGTTATTTTTGAAATGTGAAACTGAACTGACCGTCATAGTACAAACAATTATTCTGTTAACCGAAGCCAAAAAAACTATTTAAAAAATCATGAGCATTAACTAAATAAAAACATTTCCAACACAACGTTCTGGTAATAGATATCCGTACAATATATCCTCGATTTCTGTGCATGGCAAAGTGCTCTTGCCTATAGCGCCAGAAAACCCAGGGTCGTTTGCTTAATGGACCATATACTGCTGAGGAAACTCAGAAAGGTTGCAACCGGTCCAGGGTTTGCATTGCCCAAGTCCAAAAGACAGAATAATCTATGGACTTAAAACATGTATTTTGTAACTAAACGCATATTTCAATTATCACAATGTGACTTATGATTTGAAGAACAAATCAAGTTTTCCAAATTTGTTTTTGGGTTGAATGATGTCTGATGTTTTACTCCACGTGCTGGGAGCTTCTTCAGGAACTAAAAGTTACGTTTTTGGTATTTTTACCTATTTATATTCAAATGTCACCATCCCCAGGCACTGCTCACTCTGTATGTAACATACACCAACTGGTGTGATGATGTACGGTCAAACAACCCCGTGATCGATATATGAGAGACCTTCATCCCGCAGTGGATCCACAACGGCAGGTAAATTATTCTGCTCATCAATTATTAATGTCCACATTTAGTGTGGCCAAAGTGAATGTTAACAAGCTTAGATCAATTGCCTCACTCCAGCAAGTCAACACTACAAATCAGCCGATTGACTTTTAGGCATACAAAATAAATTATCCCACAACGTATGTATGTCGAACTTCTTTCACACCTTACATAGAGCCAACCGTGCTTATCGGATGTGCGGGAAATGCCATGTGTTAAGTGAAAACCAGATACCACATTTGAATGACTTGACACCTGACTGTGCTCAACAAAGCATTGCATTCTGGACTAAGCGCAGCTCTGCGGGGAACGCGGGGTGTCCAAGTCTGCACCAATCGAATGTTAAAGCTGCCCCTTTGTGTATCGGCCGTTATCTCCACCTCCTGCAGTGTTTGCTAGGAGTGAAAGAGTTCTTGCTGTTATCGTACAATTCCACTGTGCCTCACGCGGCTATCTGCGCGGGTGACCTTACTTGAAATGCTGACACGCTAGCTACTGGGTGAGCGTGTGTAGTTTTTCCCCCTTTCGAGGGGAGGAAATAATAAATGAATACCCCCCCCCCCAAACCCCCAGGCCGGGCACGCGCCAACCCTGCCACAATTTTGCCCTGTGCCGCTTTAAGGTCACCCGGCCGCAGATTGTGAAAGACATAACAATCACGGGTCCATCCGCACAGAAGACAGTGATCGCAGTGAGATTACGCGAGGCGACTGGCGCTAGAGGTTGAAGTGCCTAGTTTAAATGGAAAAGTGCAACGTCATTATCGTCTTTATTTTAGCGGGCTTTTCGAAGAATGTTTACAAGCCCAAACGCCATGTTTTTCTTGCATGTAGAAAATGTAATTATTACAGCCCCGTGCGTCAACATTTGTGTGTGGTCCATTCTCAAAGAATGATATTTGTGCGTGTGTTTTTAAGGGTTTTTAAAAAAAATATGCTTCAAGGAGTCCAATGATGTTTGAAACTCAGTGAAAGATAATTTTAAGGATTGTAGAACTTGTGAAATTTGTTTTGTCGGAAAATGTTGAACGAAGTGAAATTATTTGCAGGTATAAAGCCATTTCATATACATTTGTGAAAAAAGTCCCGAAAGTGGCACACAATTCCTAACGTAAGCTTCTTCAATAAATTATATTCAACTCGTGATGTGTGGTATATTTTGGACTGATCGAATTTAAAACCAAACCTTCTGTAGAGGGCTGGTGGAAAGACACTCCTAGAGATTTAGCGTGGAGGAATTTGGATTTTATTTACGTAAGTTTAAGCTCTCCCAAGGACGCAACCCATAATCTCCAAGAAAAATTGTCAAATTAAAATGAACTAGGATTAAAAGCTGGAATGCTCGTCCGGCCAAGACAGCAAAAAACATTTTGGAAAAACACCTATCAGCATCATCATCGGTGTTGTCATTATCCACGCCATTACCACCATGCTCCCTGCGATCTCGTTCACGATTTATCATCGAGATAGCAACAATAATAATATAATTGCTACCATACCCAAAGTACACTTTGTCACTTGCACAAAGTGGCCGGTTATGCAGATACCCATCAACATCTACCATGAGCTATCCACTGCTGAATGAAAACCTCCCCCCAAGCCCCCATAATTTCCCTGTGGCCTTGCGATATAACAATCCATGTCTCTCTTGCAAAAGAGACGATTTCAATGTTCCATCGATGCAGTAAACGTGCTGAGTGTGTTTTCTCCTTTGGCAGCGACTCTGTCGTTCGTTTTTGACTACCGGCTATCATCCCTTCGAGTGACGTTTCCTACCCAAGCCCACTTACTTTTCTTAACAGTCTGAATGGATGTCTTTTAAATTATCTGATCGACGTGTCGCATCCTTCTGTCTCTCAGTGTAATTCCACACAATCATATCTCATGCCTCTTCCCAAACTGTTCAGCTTTTGATCCAATTCATTTGTCAGTGTCCACGTTGCTGAACCACATATGCTAGCAGGCCATATGCACTGATAAACAAAAGCCAGCTGTGTTTAATTTGCTTGTTGGATAAAGCTAGGCGTTAGAGACATGAGATCACAAACGGGCTTGAGAGAACTTAATAAGACGATGATAATAATATAGGAAAACCATCACCATGCAAGTGGTTGTAAGTGTATATATTTTATTTTATGTGTGAACAATACATCGCTATATATGGTTTTGTTCAGCAATTAAAATGACCCGAAAGAAGTATGGTATGTAAACACAGAGAAGTGTACTGGGTTGAGCAATACATTATGCAAGGACTATGAACAAATATTAAAAGGGAAGAATCGACGGTGCGGTGGTTAGCGCACTGCGCTATTAATCCGACCACCGTGGTTCAATTCCGAACCTCCACTAACTACAGTGGCGAGTGACACTTTAATGTCTTCTGGTTGCTTCCTCCTCTTCAGAAACTTGCATTAACCAGCATGGTTAAGAATAGTCAAGTAACCCCCATGACCAACATATCACGGAGATGTTGGTCATGTTATCCTTCCCCCGCACCTCCGATTAGCACGGTTTACGACATACGGTGCAAAAGAAGTTCAACATACATACAGGCCCTCTTCCTGTATAGTAATTATTATAATTATGGTTTACAAAACTGTTTTTTTTTCCCATATCAAAGACAAAGGACCCCGTATAGCCTCAACAGACTGTAAGGGCAAGTTACGTGAGCAAGTACCTATTAAGGCCAGGTGGTAAGACCAGCACTATACTTGGCCACGTTTGTCTCCCCAGTGTTGCTATTCACACATCATACCCGGTTAAGGTTGAGTTGACCTCGGATAAGCTCAGCACAGGTTTACAGAATGCTTGCCCCTAATGTACTGCATTGCTCCTAAGTGAACCGAGATCACCGGGATTACAGCACAGTGCTCGGTATAAGCACCCGTATACGGTTGCATATTTAATCAACATTATTTATACAATTACGTAAATAAAAGGCTTTGTTATGACTGCTCGCATGGTAATAGTAAATTGATACTTATATAATCTTCCTAAGCACTCCTCAAGTCCATTAGTTATTTATTTTCTCTAAATCCTGGCCTTACATATTAACTTCTACACGCAAAACACACATGCAATAAAGATCCCTTGAATAATCCTATACATAGTCATTTATATAGTCCTACAGAAAGTCGGAAAAAGTGTTATTAGCGAACACATATTAAGCCCTACACATCCCATGGTAGTATGGATGGCACCACGACCTCTGTCAATCTACTATTGGATGAAGGCTTCCCCACATGTCGATTTTACCATATTCCACCACATGTGGTTGTAAAGGGGGGAGGGGGATGGGTGGCAGAAGATAAGTTTTTGATAAGACTCGCTTGTGCACTCAGCCATGGCAGGGAAATGAACTCGGCACACCGGGTTTTGTCGCACATTTCACCAAACACTGCGCCACCGTTCCCCACAGACACAGATCACGAAGTGGAGATGTTTGTCTGTCTCGTCACTGGTGGGCACCTCTCAGGAATGCTAAACACAGACACGGCGCTGTCTGCGAGCGGGCTGTTTGTCAATGCGCAGGAGTGAACGCTCGCGATTAATGAAGTGGAGCGGCGCCCACAGCCCACGCCAGATGCCGCTCACAAGCGCAGCCCTCTGGCGGGCAAGGTGGTCATGTGACTCGCACTCTCATAGACCGTGGCTGCCCCACCGCCCCCCACCACCAAACAACAAACCCTTTAACCATTCGATAGCTCAAACGCATGAACAGTGCAACACTAGAATACCGGTCAGAGCTAACATCGATGGCGGATGATATCAGAACTTGTCCTGTCCCCTGGCACCCCCCCCCCATCACCTCCTTTATCCCCCCACGCTGAGAAGCCTGGTCAAACAACCTCCGTGACCTACACGGCGTGGGAAGGTCTTCCATCCAGCAGTGGATTGAAAGCGGTTGTGGTTCCAGACACACAACCACTCGTGAGTGCCGTGAAAGTCTTAAATACTCGGCAGTCTGCATATCTACAGGGGGGTTCATAGTTCCCCTTTCCGTGTGTTGTGTGTGTCGTGGTAAATGGGTAAGGCCAGGATTTAGATAAATGAAAACACAATCGACTTGAGAGCACCTAGTAAGATACAGCGAAATATTGGAGATCGTACGAGATGCAGTTTGTAGTCCTAGAAATCTCAAGTCAAGACGTAACATTAACGTCGATCAGAGAAAAGCACAAAGGCGGTTATTTTTTTTATTAATTATATACTTTAAGATGTAAAAGTACATACAATGTTTCTCTCTGTGTGTCTGTGCACAATTCCGCTCTTCTAGACATGCCCGGATACTGACGAATGTGGTCTTTCAGAAGACAAGAAGACAATGCTATTGGCTGGGCTATTTGAGGATTAAAAAGATTTGCATGAGAATGCATGGCGGTATCCAACTTTAAAGATCAAAAGAAAACCCTGTGCATTTTCATTAACAACTCGGTTTCCATTACAGCTGACTTTTTCCAAATCCTGAGATGGCTATCTTGCCAATATAGTCTAAAACACTGATTCCCCTATTTCAATTGAGTTTACGTTGCTCAATCTTTATTCGTTATGGGCTTGCAATCCTCCTCGCAGAAGCCTTTTGGCGCAATTTCAACACGAACATTAAAATATCAACCCTGTGCGTATTCTGAGTAAACAGAAACATTAAACCAAGCAGTTTCTGATTACATTGTTTTAAAAAGGCAGTAAAAGTGCAGGCCTGTAATTGCTTGCTCACATCACTGCTAGCGGCAGGGCCTCGACAAGACAGAGCTCATGAGAGCCCACCCCCGCTCTAGAGTGAATGTGTCCCTATCCTTGCATATTCGCCAAACACATTGGAAGAGGTGGGTAGAACCTACACTTTACCCCACTGGCACGCCCGTCTGCCAATTGACTGCGGTAAGGGCCATTTCTACTGCTGGGTGGACAGAGGAAGGGGTGGGGGGAAGCATAGCAAAAATACTTGCACCACCAGGAGATTGAACAGGCAACCTCTTCTGCATTGCAAGTCCAGTTTGTTAAACCGTTAACACCGCTGCGGTGGCAGCATAGTTGACAATGACAAAGCCGATGAATGTGCACATGGCGTAAACAAGCAAAAGGGAATGGAATGAGCACTTACAGAACACGCAGCTTTTCCAAGCCCAGGAAGGTCCCAGCTGCCAGGTGGGAGAGGTCATTTCCAGCCAGGTGCCTGCATTGCAGAGAGCACAGACACAGCAGAGCTGTTCAAGAATGCAGACGTTTTGTTACAACAGCTCGGTTCAATTAAAGCAAGGCTTTTTGTCCTCGTGTTGGTTCGAGCAAACGTCCCCACGCGTTGAGAAGGCAGCACAGAAAACACACACACACTCCTCGCTTGGCGCTTCCCTAGCCAACTGCCGTTGAAGCTACCGCAAACGTTAGTCTGTGCTGGTGGGGTGGTTGTTTTTGACAGCAGTTTATTTTGCCTTTTCCTTTATGAAAACCTGTAAAGAGCATTCCTGCAGACGAGTGATTTTTTTTTTTACTTTCAAATACAGTGATTACAGCCTCGCACCACAATCCGATTTTAAACTCCTACAAATGAGTCAACGTTCACGCCTACACCAACACAATCGGTTGCTGTGTTTTGTACGAAGCGATGGACTCAACGTTAAAATATTCAACGGGCGTCTTGAGATTGGTGAGAGACGCGTAAAGGTTTTGAAATGAAACGTAGTTTTCTCTAGAACCCCTCCATATTTTATGTTAAAAAAAAATACTCACTCATCAATAGCAGTGTGGCTTTAAATTGAAAAAAAAATAGGGAACGTTGTGGGTAATCATCCTTCTTCAACGCACGTAAGTCATTATATGAGTAAACATAACCTTCTTTGGTTCTTTCGGTAAAGTCACGTAGAATGAGAATAAAATAATAAATTGATAATGAAGGCCGCTTGTGTTGTGGCCGAAACGTCGTGAGAATATTATTGTGTTATTTTATTTTATCAATTCATTATTTTATTCTCATTCCATGTGACTTTACCGAAAGAACCAAAGAAGATGAATCCTTGCAGTCACGAAAGCTTTAAATCGAAATTTAAACATAACCTGTACCATACCGTATGAATACAGGTGCAATGTGGGACTGGAAGATTGTTTGGTCATGTGCAGTGGGCCGTCGTCGGATTTATTGCAATGTTACCAGGAAAGCAAAAAGCACACAACAATGATGAGCTGATCTCACTTGAAGCGGAAAGGCTGAAACCAAAAGTTCATATGTCTGGATGTCACATTTTTCTTTTGCAACAATAACCGGAAGGTCATATTAAACCCAAGTGAATTGGGTGGGCTTAGTTACATTTTACAAACCACTGTATTATATAGCATCTATATATTATAAATCATTATTTTAGCACGAACAACAACCATGATATCACAAAGTGAATTCAGCCTGACGCCGTCTAAAAGAGGTGCGATGGACTACACAATTGCTGCTTAAGTCCAAACACAGTTCAACACCATGAAAAGCAGCATTGGTGTAAGGATGCAGATTCATTGATTAAAATAAATTCTAGGACTCGAGACACAAGTATCGAACAATGCGTTCAAGAACCATTCGTTATACCTCATAAGAATTGGGTCGACATGACACCAGGCTGCTAAACTCACGGCAGAAAAGGTAAACACGTTTTGAATTATGACGATTAATTTAATCGCGAGAGGGGAGAGCGTTAGGGTGAATCATCAAAGGTCGAATAAACAAACACTTTGTCATGGTCTCAAACAAAACTGCCCAACGAAATTGGTCCCATATGAACATCAACTCTACCGCTGCCTCTTTGGTGGCGAGTTCCCAAGAGTGTGTGTGGCAAATACAGCTGGAGGAGTCCGGTGGAGCTGCGGTATCGGGGTTAGCGTACTGCGATATGAACTCGGCGAGAAGAGTTCGGTCTCGAGCCCACGGCTACCATCAGTGGTGAATGTTATCCGAACCGGTCCTGGGTTTCCCCCTCACCAACCCACACTGAGCAGTGTGAGGATTCATTAAAAAAAAAAACCCTGCTTAGTGATATGGTATAGGGAAGGCCGTCATCCAGCAGTGGATTGGCAAAGGAGTGTGAATTATAACATAATAAAAAAAATTGATATGCATACAATGTTGCAGTTTACTTCAGGTACATTGTATGGTGCATACCTTCTGTGTTTGAAACTCAATTGTTCACGCATTCTTCCTGATGACGAACGCTTGTGTTGCGATCGAAACGTCGTAGGTTTTTGTTATTTTCTTTGAACCTATCTACATGACTTTACCGAAAGACCCAAAGAATATGTTTACTCTGGAAGTTTAAAACTGTAAAACAGCAACTTTGAGGACAAACGGGTGCATCACAGAGATCTGGAACAATCATGCGTGTGCAGGTCAACATGGAGGTGCCTGGAGGAAGCAGTACAGCAAGTACGTGCCACATTTGAGTGTTACCCCCCCCCGCCCCCCCTAAATCGGCCGTGGGTTTTCTCCGGGCACTCCTGTTTCCTCCCACTCATAAACATCACTCGAAACGGATTTGTCCAAACATCCATGGCTGAGAAAAGAACAGAAGCTCGGCGGAGCCGTTCCCAGTTAAACACAACAATCACGATTGCTACTAATTATACACCGGCCAGCTTATTCCATTAAAATTAACCAGGCAAAGCCCAAATTCAATTAGAGACTGTGATGGCTGGGCAGGCAGGCCGGGTGGGTGGGATGTATATGTGCAAGTCGGTTGGCTGTATCGGCTGGGGTGGGGGAAAAAGCTATAGGAAAACAAGAGGGAAGGGTCAGCCAATCTTCTGTGACTGAAAATATTTGCCAATTTCCAAAAAGCAAATTGCTTCCTGATTAATTGCACTGCACTGCCTGCCCTGCGAGCCCCGCGTTCATATCCTGAGTAAACAGGATGCCTGGAAGCTGGAGCTCCTGCAATCACGCTGGGCTCCGGCTAACATGCAGCCGCACGTCGCCCCTGGCAAGGGGAAAGGAATCTGCGCTGGCCATTTCAGGACAGCATGTTTGTAGACAGCTCCAAAAGCAAGCAGCGAGTCTCCCGGTAGGTCAACATAAAGCAACACAATGGACGGGGGATGGCTTTGCAGGATGTTAATCAGAGATCTCTCCTTGCGAAGTCTACTCCAAGGAAACTGAACCGTTGTTTGGCTGGTGGAAGAACAGGAGAAAAATACAAGTTGGACGAAATGGAAGAAGAACAGAGGGGAAGAGCTTACCAAGAGCTGCCCATGTGATAAATCAGTTTTCGCACTGAATGGGCTGTGAAGGCACTTGACAGGGAATAGATATGGACTTCCTTTGAAGTGATCTCGCTAAAAAAAATCCTTAAAAGTATTCCAGATCATCTCATCTCCGTCAGCTCATTACGGATTATAAACCACGGGAGGCCAGCGAGGAAGCCTGATTAACTCCCAATAGTTGTCCGTATTTTACGATTCTCTGTCATGACCACTCCCAGACAACTATGTTGTTATTTATTTATATTTATACGTATATAATTTTAACAAGGCCCTGCCTTAGAGTGTTGGTCTATACTGATTTATTGTCCTTCTAGTTTTCCTACTAATCTGACCATGAGAGTCTTCAAGTCTGGTACCCTGGAGCTAAGTAAACAACCAAATGGAATGTCCATCTAAATGCATTTCAATAGCAGACCGGAGACACAGGAGAATCCTAAAGAAATATTTACAATCCCCAAGATTATTGCTAATAAGCAACAGCAGTGAGTGCCTTTGAAGAGAGGTTATTGCAAGCCCTATTAAAATGCTTCCTCTCAATATTCCTGGACATTTACGAGTGATCGCTGAATTGTAGCCAGGTCGCATATTGAATTTTTTTTTTTTTAAGCCCTTTGTAAATCTACTGCTTGATGAAGGCCTCCTCATACTTTTTGGTCAAGTTTCTGTTATTCATGCATGAAGTTCCATAGGTTTTGTGACCATACGTTCACCCCACCAGTCAATGTGGGTTGGTGAACAGAGGTACTCTTCACATAGGCGAGCCGTTGCTGGGAATTAAACTCGGGTTTGTCAGGCTCATAGCACCGCGCACGAACCACTTTTGCCATCGCCCGAAGTTGATCAGAATCAGAATATTAATTTATACTGGAGAAATCCGATGAGCTATGAAGCTCTTTTTCACAGATAATGCAAAGCGGCCAGCAATACACAGAGCTAGGACAGGGGACAGTAGGTGAGTGTGATAACGAGTCAGGTTATACACGGTTTAAAAGCCAGAGGAAAGATGGGAGTTCCAAAGCCACGGAAAGATGCCTCTGCTTGGCTCCGTGAGCCCTCCCGGTAGGTCAGCTCTGCGACCCTTAACAGGCGCCCCGGCGCAGCCGCCGAGACGGTGCTCTCGGCAGAACATGTCACCGAGCGGTCGTCGACAGTCGTCATCAATTACACGGGGCTCGCTGCGCCCACGCCCAGCGGAGACGGGCGGGCATCCGGCCGCACCTCCGCACCTCCGCTCAGCCGCGAGCGCCGAGAGCCGGGACCGCCCGGGGCGGTGCACAACGCGAGCCGCGCGCCGGCTCGCGTTCCGCACCCGCGCGGGGCGGGGGCACACGCCGCGCGCAAGCTGCGGAGGAGGGCAGCGACGGCCGCCCTCATAAGAGACAACGGACTACTGGACATCTGTGGGGGAAAAAAAAAAAAAAGCTTTATAGCTCATCGGATTCCTCCAGTGTCAATAAATATTCTGATTATGACTTTGCCGTCTCACTGGCCTACTTTTCATGGCTGTAATCGACGTGCCGTAATGTTGTCCTACCTCGGTAATTCATTATCGCGAATCGGGGTAGCCATTCGATAACAAACGAAGTGTTGTTGGTCAATGTAGTGTATTAGAGCACCTCCAGTGGCTTTCAGGGGACACATGCGTTACATAAAATACACATTCAACACTGTCAACTCTGAAATGCACAATTCGATGCGTGATTCATTTGTGAGAACTGAAGTTGATAAGTGTTAATGTATCCGTACAATGCCAATATATATCTTGATTCAGAGTTAGCTTTTTAAATAAATGTAGAGACGACAATAATCAATTCCAACTCGAGTGTAATTTCCTACACATCTCCTGTTTAAAGCCATTCGTTGGTGTAAATTCCACTTTGCTATTGGAGGAGTGAATCTATCTTTAGAAAACCCACGGCTGACTTACACATGGAGTACTTATTTTAACAACACTAGGAATGATGATTGGCCGAGTCAACCCCTAAATAAAATGTTAACTCATCTACCTACTCGCTACTAAAGAGCAACATGCCTGGTTAATAACAGTCATAATAATCATGAGTATTTTGTCAATCCACTGTAAGAGAGACCTGCAGATACTGTTGGTCAGGGGGTTGTTTGACCATACTTCACTGTGCTGGTTGGTATGTTTTGGCGAAGGGAGAGACCACGACCAGTTCAGATATTACTTGCCACTTAAGTCAACCGTGGCTGGGAATGAAACTCAGGTCACAGGGTTCAGAGGCACAGTGTGTTAACCACCGTGCCACCCCTCCACCCCTCTCGATACACATAATTAGATTGAATTATCAGTTCCATCCCAATTGTGGTTTCGCATTAAGTGCTCAAAAAACTTGGCCTTCGCAAACATTGGAGAAAAACCAACTTCAAGTGATGGGTGTTTTGTGGTGCCATTTGTGACCAAGAGCAGACCATTAACACCCTACGTAGAACATCAGTCAGCCTCCCAAACTTTAACCAGAGTTTCTAACACAGTCTCAGAGGTGATGGTTCAATAATCCGAACAAATGTTCCTTCTATGTTACATACATTTACTCAATGTAGCTTGATAATTTTAGTAGCGAATACCAAATATAATTGCTCAGCGAGGCAAGCTTCCGCAAACACACATTTCCCTCTTGCAAACATTAGGGCCTGAGGTTTTGTTTTTTGTTAAATTCCCATCAGCTGACTGTACTTCAATTATAAAAAAAATTTCGTCCATATCACACTGCAGCCAGAGGCGATATTTGGACCCCGGTAAGTGGATGGGTTTAAAAGCCTAACAATGCCTTTAACTTTTTAGTTTACTGCTCCGTGGTGCCTCGCTTTCTGTCTGCATGGCAGCAGCGGAACCAGACAGCCTCCCATCCAATGCTGTGAGATTGGCGCTTTTCAAATGACGGTGAGGCCCAGATGACAATTCACTCCGACGGCCAAACTAACACGATTAACAAAAATGCGCGCTTGCGCAATTATAGGCGAAACCGTGGAAGGGAGCAGGGCGGGTCTACATTTGGTTGCATGAACTGTGTGATTATATGCAAAAAGAGGTGATTATATATTATTAAGTGATTATATGCATAAAAAGGGTTAACCATGCAAAAAGAGGCAGGCTCGGATACCTGCAGTTCCATGCACTGTACTTTATATTTAAACACCACGTTAAATGTTTTTGGTTGCTGCTGAGCCAACAAACACTTGGACTAGCTTACATATGTAGTGACATATAATTGGTCACTTCGCAGCATAGCGCTTGTTGCTGGCAGGGAAGAGGATCTGCAGCTTGTAGCAGCCCTGACTGGCAGCAGGTCATGTGATAGACCAGAGAGAGGGATGTAGGGGAAAGGTTACGGAAGGGACACATCGAGAACCTGCTAGTAGGTTCCAGAAGGGGGGCGTGGCCGTGGGCGGAGCCAGGCCACGCTGATAGTATAAGAGAGGCCCCGGGAGGGGACCTCGGGGCTGTCGTTTCTGTCGTGCTGCTGAAGTCTTCGTCACCGTCACCGTCTTCATCATCACGACGTCGTCAGTCAGGCAGTCTACCAGCTGTCCTGACTGGGAACCGTAGTTGCTAAAGTGTGAACCGTAAAGGCTGCTAATAAACAGGGTGCCTCCTACTCTTAGTGTCTCTGAGTCAGTCACTACACATACACACACCATGCTTAGTAGAGTATTGTTGCAAAAAGGTGATTTTTCATTTGAAAAATTATCCAAAGCCACGTATTTACAAGTAATTCTCGTATTATAATAAGCGGTGGTGACACACCTCAAAGACAACAGTTTTACAGCTTGTTGTATACAATGTAAATATATATTTGCTTTTACAACCATTCAGGTGCTCATATCTACTGGCGGCCCTGAGCCAACAGGGGAAATTCCACATTACTATGGTGGGAACCAACCTCTCCATAAGATTTCGCACACGAGCTCTAATTTTTATTAACCTGGGGTGCCGCGGTGGCGAGATAACTCCCTGGCCTGTTATGCACGAGGTCGTGGGTTCAATCTCAACTTTGACGCCTGTATATTTGGAGTTTGCATGTCTATCTCCCCCTGGTAACATGGATTTTTCTTCGGGTCCTCCAATTTTTCCCTCCACACATATAGAGAAACATGCATTTAGAGTATTTGGCTGCTATAAATGTCCACGTGATAAGCCACTTCGCTCAGCTGTCATCTTTGGCAAGGTTGCTTCTAAAAAATAGCTTTTTAGCTTAGTGGGCCTTACTTTGTAAAATAAAAAGTGTATAGTTTTTTTTAGTTTAACCTCGGAGGGATGATAGGCTGAACTGACCCTTAGCTGGTCGTCGAACTCGCAAACCTGAATCTCCCGAGCTTAGCGGCAGCCAGCGATAAACACGACCGCGGTTGTAACCAGGTGCGATTCCATTTGCACACGGGGTGGTAATTACACACGATTACGAGCGAGTGTGTACAACGTTGAAATGTTAACAACGGGGCGACATGCGGCTCCGAATGCCAGCTGCGCACAAAACAAGTGTGTAATGTACTCATGGCGTCGTGCCTCAATAGGGTGCAATGCCCAGTGCGGTACAGTGTAATGTAACTCAATCACACTTACAGTTCCTCCAGTAACTTCAGCTGCTGAAAGGCACCAGCGGGGATGTCGGTCAGATTGTTCATGCTGAGATCCCTGTTTGAGAAAACACAACAAATAAAGTGACAAGGGTAAGGATGGTGGTTTTTTTTTTGATCCGCACGGTAAAAAGTGTCAGTCATTATCAACGCCGCCGACATGGTTTAAACATCCTTTATTATTGCTAGCACCATGATGTTCACCATTGCACGTTTAGGGAGCGAAACAACGGTATTAACGATATGAAACAATTGTAATAATTTCCAGCCCTTTGTCAGTCCAATGGTCATGGAGGATGTTAGAACATACTTGACCACGCTAATCTGTGCAGCCAGGTAAATAATGCAATAACCGGTAATATTTCAATTACCAGAATATTTATAGTTCCAAAAAAACAAGATACATATGTAGATTAACTTGTACTGAATATCACTGAATGTTGGAATTTTTTCTCTCCCAAATGTATTTAAGGCTCACGCACCACCATAACATCACATGCGCCTTCATATCTCATTCATTGGACAACGCATGCATTCGTGCATTGACAAACCCATAAACCCAACATTGGGGGAGAGGTCACATCATTTCGTGTTTTATACGTAGTACTATACACAATTCAAACAACTGCATCCAAAAACATGTCACATGCTAACCACACAATGGACTGAACAAACTCCCCCCACCCCGCATCCTCAACGTCCGTAAATGGAACCTGCTGCACAAGAGATATTTGCCCGTGCAGACAGAACCATTGTAAATCTCACGCACTTAAGACGCCGTGCTCACCGCACGTCACTCATCGCTGCTCAAAGTGGTCGGTCGCTCGCTCGCCGCCACCGCCTTTGAGACGATTCGGGGTTAAAACGAACACCCTTGGCCAGCCCTGGGAGCCCACGCTGATGTAATGTTTGGTCAAGACGCGGTATGGGATGATGCTTTGTGCATTCACACATCACCACCTGCACATTTCCCGACCAGGTATTCTCACAGCTTGCGCATTCACACACTGCAGGTGCGTAGGCAGCTCTGCGTCTCTCAATTACCGTCCTTTTATTTTAACCTTTGTAACAGCTCATAACAGAGTAGCTCTACCACTTTGACAGATGTGAACGGTGGTTGTTTTCTAGGTACTGGTCCCAGCAACGTGAATGTGGAATGTCCACCACTGGCTCAGGACCACCAGCGAAGAGGAGTACCTGCCCATTGCTATTTCAAGCGGTGAGATACACCGACTTGATGCTTGAGTTTCCAAATGAGTGCGTCAGTTTTGGTAAACGCGATGGGAACATGGGCTGGGATTCCCCTAGGTCAACTCAGCCAGTGCAGCACGCTCAACAACAACACTGGGGAGACAAAGGCAGCCAGTTGTGAGTGGTCCCGACCAGGATATTAGTGCTCACTCACATCAATTGCCTGTACACTGTGAGGCTAAACCAGTGTTTGTTTTTGTTCCAGCAAGCTTGCATGTATATACTGATTATATTGAAGAATGTTTTTCTTGGCGAAAGGACAGCTCTATCGTATTTATTAAACCCATATCTTTCCTGCAACCAAAATCACTCCGAATGGGCCCACTGAGCCTGGCTAGCACTTGGATGGGAGACTGCCTGGGGGATAGCAGGGTATTGTAGGCAAGGGCTATGGCTAACATGTGACCGGCAGACCACAGCAGTGTAATGGATTCCTGAATGTATCCGTGCGGAGGCTTGAACGGTATCCCGACGTACACGTGGCTATTCTAAGTATTCCGGTTGCTTAAATTAACGGCACTGGCCGAACATCTCAATGGAGGACCCTCCTGAAAAAGTGTTTTAGGACTCGGCGAGGCGTTTGTCCATAAAACAATTCATTGTATTTTTTTTTATGCGTTGCTCACACATTTCAAATATTCCTGTTTTCCCAGCGTGCTGCATGTGTGCGAGCGTCGTCATGATAATGCATTTGTCATTGTTGGCCAGAGTCCCTTTGCTTGCTCATTCGGTAATCAGTCAGCGATGCAGCCGAGCTGCAACACTGTACAGACTACGACATGCAGTGGGAATGAAAAGAGGGAGACAGAAAGTGGAAAAAACGTTTTAAATAAATAAGATAAAACAAGGTCCGACTATATCTCCTTACAGTTTAAGTGCAGATCAAAGAAGCATGAATTGGTATCGCACTGTGCATGAAGTTATGTACAGACGACTCTTCATCTGTCAACGCCACACCTGCTCCTGCATTCGGCTCAAAGCAACACAGGCTAAGACTCAAGGGCGCGCGCATGTTTTTTTGTGTCCAGGACCTCCCAGCACTGTGGCAGCAGTTAGCTGGGTTCATCCCTTTCTGACTGTCAAAATCAACGACGCTTCTCTCTGCGGTAATATCCACGCACCCACGCGTGCACGCACCCACGCACGATTATGTCTGCTGGTCTGCGGTTGGCATGGCGGTTGGCATGTTTATTCTGCAACGTCTGACAGGTACGTTTCACTCCCCGATTTTGCTCAGTGGCGGCAATTGAGTTTGCCTCTCTCCCTGACCTGGGTCTCACTTAGGCAGACCTGGGACCCATACTTGCACACGACTTTGAATGACTTGGGAAAACCTCCCCAATTTTTTTGCACAGTATCGTCCAAAAAAAACAATACTTGCTTTCTATGGACAAAAACAAGATGCCCATAGAAATGCGGGCATCAAATAGATAATACACAATTTACACATTATAGACTGTTATCCCTGCAAATACATGGAATTTAAGCAGTCACGAAAGCTTTAAATCAAAATTCAAATTAAATAAGTGAACATATTCAATCACAAGAGTTGGCAGGGGGGGGCGGGCTTCAGTTCCACAAGAGGTTTCAAGTTTTTGCTCAATGTGCTCGGAACTTCATTCCTTGTAAAGACGGTCGCTGCATTGCGCGCTCTCTGATGCGCTTCTGCATCCGTCTGGAACGCTCTTCCTTTTGACGTTAGGAAGCCACTGGCGCTATGCACTTTTAAAGCTATATTGAAAACTCATTTAATTACTACTGCTTTTGGTGTTTAATTTGTTGCCCTTACCACCCAACCTCAATTAGCACGGTTGGCTACACACAGTGTGAAAGGAGTTCAACATACATACTTAAGAACCTTCCAAGCAGGTGAAACGAAACATCTGGACATCCATGCCGAAACAACAACCACCACAAACAACCAGAACACACAATGGAGAGATAAATATAATTCGCTTCACGAGTACTATTTTACCTGCCCGATGGAGAGGGCACTAGACTCCCATAGCACCCCTGTAATGATGCGCTTAATCCCGTATTGACAAATACCGGGGCGCGGGCGCACGGACACCCCCCATCTCCCCCCCTAGTAGCCTGAGCAGTGAAGAGATCGTGGGTTGTAGCCGGCAGGCAGGCTTGCTGGTGTTGTGAGCCCCCCCCCCCATCACCGATTGACAGGCAGGCCAGGGAGACGGACAGACACACAGACAGGGCCTCCTTTGTTGTGCTTGCGGGCCAGAGGGAGAGAGAGATTGGAGGGGGGGGATTGAGAGAGGGAGGTGTGCGTGTGTGAGAGTGTGTGCACGAGGGGGAGAAAAGGGGCGCTTGCAATTGAAGGGATTGGAGTGAGGAGGGGGGGACCTGTTTTGCTGGAACCAGGGTTTGTGGGTCGAGGAGGAAGCAGGCGGTGGGGGTAGGGCGATGGGAAGGGACAGCTTATTCTTTTCAGGGAGCGGCAGCCTACAGTGAATTAGCGTGGAGTCAGGTTTCAGCGACCGGCACTAAAAAAACCTCCGTGTCGGACGGGACTGCGGAGCGCAAAAGAAAGTTGAAACAAAATGGGCATTTATTTCACTTCATTTATTTCACGTGTGCATGCAAGTGTAGATACTTGTAATGGAAACATTCTGGGGGACGTAAAACATTATTGCATTAGTCCGGGTTGAGATGTAAAAGATTTTGCGCGCAATTTAATCCAGTCAAAACAAAACAAAAAATCCATGCATCTATTTAGCTGCTTATAAAGAAGGTATAAATGACGCATGCGGTGATTAAATTATATTACGCGTCAAACAACCGAATACTGTTCCTATATAGCAAATTATCCATATATTTACGTATAGGAATATTGAATTGACATAATTGGCTCAGGGGTACCAATGGCCATGGGCATTACCCTAATGTTCTTTTTTAAGGTAGTTAACGTGTAAAGGAGTTGCGATACATCCATCCGGAGATTCGATTAATTAAGAATTTTCACAGCTTATACAAATTATGTGCAAGTTTTATGCTCGGACTACATAATATTTCAAGGCACAAACACTCTACAACACGGCAACAGAAAAAAATAGACAAGACTCAAATATCGGACTACAGGCCCCCAAAATTGTAAATATTTTCTCAATCACCAATTCAATTTGTGTACCTCTTATTTAAAATGGATTAAGCAATGCATAGTTATATACCACGTAGGTAGTTAGTAGGCAAGCAAGCAGATACTTGGGTAGAATTATTCCGCGATCGATCAATATTGGATAGCAATCGCTGTCAAAGAGCCAATAAAATCCTGCGCGGGACTTAATTGATTCGCCAGCGCAGACCCCTGGGAAAATGCGCTCTTGTCTGTAAAGCAAGCCACGGCAAGCACGGCAGCGTACCGGCTCATGAGCGGAGATGCAGCTCAAGCCTGCCTCGAGCACTGGGAATCTGCAAGGCAACAGCCCGTGGCATCTTCACAGAATTATCTCGAAATCCACAAGCTGCGGCAATGCCTCACCGTGTGGCCAGGCCAACTCGACTCCACAGCCAGAACTGTTCTTTACCTGTTGTTGTTCGTTGCTCATTGTGTACACGTTGTCCTTTTGTGAATGCACTGCTGGATGAGGGCCTCTCCATGCCGTGCGAGTCATGGCAGTTATTTGACCATATTTTGCCATGCTAAATGATCAATTATTAATGTATGCAAATATTGTATCACAATCAGAATCTTTATTTAGGCTGGAGAAATTCGATGAGTTATGAAGCGCTTTTACACAGATGTTATATCATATTGCTTCTTCACCAAATTAAGGTGACTAGTGTGGTGAT